AAAATAGACCCCCCACCGCACCGCCAACCCCCCAACAACCCCCTCCCACCTCCCCACAACCGGATGCTGCGCCGCCACCTCCCCAAACGACGGATCACCCTGACTCTGCACACTCCACCTCCACACACCCTCCCCATCCACCCACTCACTCCCACACAGCTCCTGCAACCCCAACTCCTTTTGCGCCAACTCGCGCAACCCACGCACCTCCTCAAACACCCGCTCATCCACCCCCTTCCACGCCGCCTCGAAACCCTGCAGCACACCGAGAATCCAGCCTACGCGCAGACCGAGGCTGGCGCCGAGGGCGTAGCCTTCGTCGAAACCGGCTTGGAGGTATTGGCCCTTGTTGTTGGCTAGGCCTTCGCGGTATGCGTCTGTGTCGAGGGCGCGTTGGCGGGATGGGAGATCGGATAGGATTTCGTGGGCGCGGGGGTGCGCGGGTAGTGTGTTTGGGGCGGTTGGGGACGGGGGGGCGGAGTGGTAGATGTCGTCGAGAGGGTTGTCGTGGGGTGGGGTTGGGGGTGCGTGGCCGGCTGCAAGATGGGTTGGACCCTGGGGAGGGGAGACTTCGCCGAGTGGGTTCATGGTGATGTGGTGTGCGCAGAGGGATGAGGGTGGGGATATAAATCTTGTCGTCTCTTGTATTGTAGATTGTGTGGCTGGTGGTGGGAGGTGAGGGGCGAGGAAATAGGGTTCAGGATCTGGGTGGACACTAGCGTCGTTTCCGGACGTCTCGGGGGATTGAACCTCTTTGAGACGAAGCAACTTTCCTCCCTCTCACAAACACTACATGTCCACGACATCTAGTTCGTCCAAGATGTAACAAGTACATAGCCAAAGACGGTTAGCAAGTGAAGGGAGCACACAAAGTCCCCATAACACACACACACACACTTCCCCACCCCAACTAAGAACGCAAAAAAGTCCATTTGCTCTGCAAACAAATCCTATCTCAGCCTGCAAAAAAGGACTACATACATTGCTATACATGGTCCCCCAAAAAGAGAAAGAAGGCTCTTGCCAACTTTCGTCCTCGAAAACGGAAAACCAACTCTCAATCTTCACTTCTCTGCCCTTCTCTTTAATTCGTCCAAGAGACAAAAAGGCGAGCGTTGAGAGACAAAGAGGAATGAACAGCCGACTTCTGTTTCCTCCATGTAATCAAAGTAACGTAGAAGCCAAGAATTACGACCAGCGTACCACCACCCACTGGGTTCAACTGCGTCAAAGAAAAGACAGAATCCTCCAGCAATGGTATAAAGAGCAACCGGGGTAATCAGAACAACGGGGGGATGGGGCATCATCTAGAATGTTAACTTTGGGAAAAAACAAACGTTCAAGGGTGAGATGAGGGTATGCGCAATCTCTCAAAAGTTTCGGGGCTAGGGGGGGATGGGAAAGCAGAATGGACAAAACAAACAACCAAGCAAACAAACAGATGCCAGCCGTGATCAACAAGCGGAGAGTACGAAAGGCGAGGGTATGAACAAGGAGATGTGGGTACACATGTCGAATGTGCTTGGGGTATGCCAGGAGTATGGGGGGTGCCCCGGGCAGGACATGCCGTGTGACGTCCTAGATTGGGCTGGCCAATAGGGGCGGGTGGGGGTATACAATGGGGGTGGATTGGACGTTACGCAAGTGTGGATCAAAAGGTACACAAATGGGCAGAACAAATCGTCGACGACACAGTGACAGACGCGGCATTCGCAGAAACAAGCCGAGGAGGTCGTCGCGACCTAAAAGTCCGCCGACGGGTACGGACGTTGGTCCCTGGCGCCTGCGCTCATTGCGCGACCGTTGACAGCGGGAACGGACAGCCCCTTTGCAGCAGGGCCGTCGGATGTCGCGATCCGGCGTCTGTTGGTGCTCTTTTGCAGGCGGTTCGTCCTCCATCCCTCATACCACTGATCGCGACTTGCCTCGCGCAGCTCCGCGCGCCATTCGCTGAATACGCTCTCCCTGAGGCGGACGAAATCGCAATGCTCAGGATCATAAGGATCGGCAAAGCCCCAGGGAAATCTGCGTCCGACAATCTCCGGCTCGTACGGGTCTGGCGAGATGATGCTGAGAGGCAAGAAAGGTGTCTCTGTAGTTTCTGCCTGGATGGCGGCGGACATGGCTGATGGCTTTCGACTGTGACTTTTCCTAGCACTCGGTGGCGAAGTGGGTGGAGATTGCGGATTGGACGAATGTGACGAGCCGACTGAGCGTGCGGCTTCCGAGGAGGATCGCTCGAGAATCTTGTGCAAGACGTCTGATTTGTCCTCGCCCTCCGAGGAGTTTTCATACTCGTCTTCGTCGCGCTCATCCAGTCGGTCAGGATCCTCATCGTCTGTCTCTGCGTCCAAGTGCAAGGCCTCGAGAGGGTCAAGCTTTGCACGTTTCAACGTGTCCCAGACCATCTTCTTGAGGTGGCGCATGTGTGCACCTGTGATGGTGTCTGCCTTGCTAATGACGGGAATCACGGTCGTCTTGCCCTGAAGCTCGCGCAAGACGTTGAGGTCGAGGTTCTCATCGAGTCCACCAAAAACTGCATTACCAATATTAATCGCATTCGACTTTTTACGATCCGCCGCGATATTTTGATCCAAGCGAATCGGGTCCAGGAGAAGGAAAACACAGTGAATGTGGGTGTCCCTGACTCCGGGCGCACGCACGACCTTTTGCTCCTCGCTGAACGTGTCCTCGAACTTGGACTCGAGGAAGGAGGTGATGATGGGTAGCTGAAAGTCGACAATGTTCTTCTCCAGGCCCTCCGAGTCCCACAGGGTGACGCCAACGCGCTCGCCATCTACCTCGGTCTCGAGATATTCAGACGTGAAGGGCGAGTCTTCACCGCCGACAGCTGTGGCTGGCGGAGAAGGGGTGTGGGGCCGTTTTTTACCTGGGAGGGCAAGCGCAGTGCGAAGAAAATCAATAAAGGACGACTTCCCACATCCCTTGGTACCAATGACCAGGATACTGTGTGCACTCGTTAGCGAGGAATTTGGCTGTCGAGGGCGTGCCACCTACTTGAACGGAGTCGGGTCCTTTCTCCTCCTGACGCGGCGAGGGCTGTTGACGGTGCTGTGTTGGCTGCTGGCATAGCTGTAGCGACCGCGATGTGTCATGCTCTCGGTCCTTGGGTAGGGGTCGTAATTCATGTAATCGCTGGGCGGGCCGCCAGCGGACGAGGGTGCGTTCATGGCGACGTTGGACTGCTGCTGATTCTGAGCCATTCTGTACGTGTCGACCGAAGGACGGGAGAAGTTGTGGCTGTTGTGACTGGCGTTGGCGATAGCGTTACCGTTACCGTTACCGTTGGCGATGGCGATGGTGTTGTAGTTGCCAGCCCGGTTGGAGACGATGGCGATGGAATCAGGGCGGGCGTCGTCGCCTCCAAAAGTGGCAATCTGGGGCAAGGCAGAGTGCGAGGGAAGGCGGGGTGGTTGTCGGGGCAGCATAGCGGCCTCGCGCTGTCTGCGTAACGCTTCCTCCTGGGCAAGCGCCTTTTGCTTCCTGCTCATCTTGCCGGTCGAGGGGCTCCGGGTGCTTGCGCTGCCGCCACGTTCGGCGCTGGACTTGCGGCGCAAGAATCCAAACGAGGTCCTGCGCGGGCCCTGCTGCTCACTGCTGTTGGACTGCGCTATCGAGGGACGGGCAGTGGCTTCAGGGGAGGCGTCTTTTTGCAGCGAGGAAGTTGGTGGATTACGAGGGCTAGGAGACTTGCTGGGCGTCGTACTGGCCATGGTGGGCGAGCGGGCGGGCGGGCGGCTCTTTAATCAACGCAAATAGAGAGACACACACACACACACACACACACACACACACACGTGGTAGGTAGGCAGGTAGGTAGGTAGAGTTGGTTAGTCCACAGCGCAATCTTAGTTTCCCCGTAGGCAAGTTAGATTGGGGGTGGGAACACGACCACGGGCGCGCAATTGGATGTCGCGACAGCGGCGGCACAAACAAAGGTCGATGATGTGGCGAAAAGGAAAGGGCTGGTGAAATTGAAGGGGAGGGAGCTGGTCTTCGGGATGTGCAAGGTCGGCGCCTGTTCAGACGCGGGTGGCCGTGCCTTTTTGGTGAATAACCCTGAGGCCGGCCTATAGGTACCGGTGGAACACTACTGCAGGAACGGTTTGCGTGGGTCAGCAACGCTTGCGGCCACCCCCGGATTTCAAACTTTTTTTCTTTTCTTTTCTTGTCGACCGAGAGTGGGCGGGAGAAGAACGAGTGGGAAGAAAAACAGAAAACAAGGACAAGAAGGGATGGAGACGGTGGGAAAAGATGTAGATTTCAGGGAGCCACCAGACCAGCCAAAAGCGTGACGCGTCGAGGAAGTGGTGGCATGTCATATGACCATGGGTTTAGCGTCGGGCGACTTGGGCTTTACTCCGAGTGGTTAGAATATCCCTGTAGGTTCAAGTCCACGTTACAGCAGCAAATTTTTATAGTTATATAAACTAGCCTATAGTTAAGTATAAATTAGGGTAATTTAAGCAAGTAAACGCAGTTTTTATTACTATCTTTTTTAAACGTGTTCTAAACCTGTTCTTAATAATATATAGGTGTTCCTAAATACTATACTAAAGTTTAGTATAGTAGTACTAGATAATATATCTAAACTAGATAGTAATATTAGAGATAAATTTAGGTAACTATATAAAGTGCTAGAGGAGGATAGTAGTAGTAGTGTTAAGGAAGTAAGTAAAAGTAAATAGAATAAGTTTAGAATAGGTTAGTAACACGTTATAGGGGCACAATATATACCTTACTTATAGTAATAGTTAAGGACTACTACTTACACTAGCAATTATTAAGTATATAGCTATTCTCCTAGCATACCCTTAATTATATAGCTAAGGGTATAGGTATATAATACTAGTTTAGTAATATAAAGATAGCTCTTACCTAATAAGAGAAGAGGTGCTTATACAGGCTATATAGGTAACACGTTAAGAACACGTTCTTAAATTATTCTAATTCTAGTAGGTATAATACTCCTACTAGTCTATCTATCTTAACAGGCCTATAACTTTACTATTCTTTAATAGCTAGCTAGCAAGCTAGTATAAATACTAATACTCTAGGGTAAAAGCGTGTAAGTATCTTAAGAATATATTATAAACGTGTTCTTATTACATTGTTAATAACGTATTATATAATTAGATCTAAACCTTAAAAAGTATAGTACCTAAGAAAATTCTATAAAGAGAACTATAAATAAGAAGCTATTATTATAGCCTTATTAAGCGCTTCTCTTTAAGGATTTATAAGGACTACTAGGTGTCTTATTATCCTATAATAAGGACTATAGTAAATTAGGTAGGGAGTAAAACTTAAATATATTTAAAACGTATTAATAATAAGTTAGTAAATTATAGAATAGGCTTAACTATATATTAGCTGTTAGAACTATAGCCTAATATCTACTACTAGGAAAAAACATTATTTTAGTTAGGTACTACTAGAGGTAGACTCTATATATCTACAAGGTCTTCTAACTAGGGAGATATTAAATCTTTCTAGTAGTCCTGCTTTATATTCTGTGGTTAAGCTATAGTTAAGCTAGATAAAGAAGTGTAGTAGGTATATTGCAACCTATTCCTAACACGTTCCTAACATGTTCTAGGCGTTAATTATCCATAAGGGTAAGGATCTCTATTTAAAATCCTGTGTAAAGTTACCTTCTAAGTAATTATACTAATAGATATAGTAGTAATACCTTTTTTTACTATTATTTCTTTTAGTATACATACATATATACCTCCTCCTCCCTTAACACTATCTAATAGTAATATTAAGGAAGTAGTAAAGGTATTATAGCCTATACTTACTCTATAGCTTATATAATATAAGTTGTTTATAACCTGTTATAAATATGTTCCTAACTTATTATAGCCTAGTTCCTAAACTTAACCTAGCTCTAAACCTATCTCTAACTTAAAGGTTTCTATTCTATTAAAGAAATGTATATTAGCTTTATAAATAAAGATAAAATCTTGCGTATTATAAAGTGTAAAAAGCTTCTATAGTTCCTATTTAAGAGTAGCCTTAGAGGAGTACACTATAAGTAGAGGATAAAGTATTAGGATCCTAAAACTATACGTAGTGTAAGAGAATAGGTTTAGAATATATTACTAACATATTACTATAGGCGTATATATAGTAAATCTTTATATTAAGCTTAGGTAACTTAATTATTTACCTTTTTAAAGAGTAGGCATTAATTCTATTAGATTAAGATATATTCTAGATAGATATATTATATAAGAGGTTATATAGGGTATAGGTAGAGATTCTAATAGTAATCTTCTACTTATAGGAAAAGAAGCGTACGTATTAAGAATAGGTTTATAATACGTTTCTAACACGTTATAGTTATTATACTTAGCTAAATTATTATAGATAAGGATATAACTAAGATATGTTAAGTTGCTATTACTAACTTCTTTTAGAAGTGTGAAGCACTTACAAAAAGATAAGTGTTATAGAGGTATATTTACTTACAGGGATTCTATAGGACTACTATTAATATATACAATAAGCAGATAATAGGCAAGTTTTATAGCGCACTATAATATATTTGTAATATGTTTCTAACTTATTTCTAGGACTTAGGCGCTATCTCTAGTTAATTAATCCCTATAAGCGTGACTAGTGCTAGCAACTTTAATCTTGTATAAGATTTTGTTAAGTATATCTATAAAGAAGTATTTATAAAGCATGTAAAAGAGAGCTAGATAATACTACCTCTTTACGTCTAAGTGAATTACTATAGGTATTAATAGTAGAGGAATACTTTTAGCTTACTAACCTCCTCTTATATAAGTAAATATATTCTAAACCTGTTCTAAACGTGTTCCTAACTTATTCTTACATAATTAGAACACAAACCCTCTAAAGATGCCTAAAACTAGGCAATCTATAAGAAAAACCTAGTAATTACTACTAGGATTATATAATACTATAGTAAAATATTAAAAGAGGTATAGGAAAAACTAGAATCTTATTTAAATATAGCTAAGCAAGCAGGCTAGAAAGGATATAAAACTAGTAAGCATGTAAGTATTCTTAAGGCTACTTAGAAGTAAGTTTATAACCTATTCTTAACCTATTAGAATTATATAAGTAATATTATATAGTGCACACTAGATAGATCTATAGGATATAAAAGAGTTTAAAGCCTAGAGCAAGTTTAGAATACGCTATAACTATAGAACTCCTAATAGGCTTAAGTAAAGGTACCTTAAAAAGCTTTAGAGGGGAGAAAGTAAGTCTTACGCTAGCGTTATACACATTTACTAATTAAAACATATTTAGAACGTGTTTAGAACGCGTCCTATAATAATAATAACACTCTAGATAATAATAAAGCAAGTCTTGCTATATCTAACTTAACTAAATATATCTTAGTCCTAATAAGAAATAAAAGAGCACGCTTAAAAGCCTAAAGCTAGAGGGCAAGTAGTAGAGCAGTATTAGAAAGAAGTTTACTAGCCCCTTTTCTATCTTCTCTACTACTAGGCTCTTCTCCTCTACTAATAGTAACCTAAAGGTATGCTTTGCAAAACACGTTTATAACACGTTCCTAACTTATTATTAGTCTATAACTATAAACTTTATAATAAAAGGCTCTTCTTAGTAATTAGGCTCTAAAGGAAAGAAAAAAAAAGCTAGAGGTAGATAAGGAAGAACTTGCATAGAAAAAGGCACTATTTAAATTATAAAAGGCATAGTTTAAACTTAAGAAAGAGATAGCTACTTTTTATATAAGGCAGGGTTAGTTTATAAATATAGTAACTAGTTCCTAACTAGTTCTTAATATATTCTAGTCTATTATATAAGTATATATAAGTAGATAAATATATATTCTTTCTTCTTCTCTTTCTTCTTCTTTCTTCTTACACTCTATAAGAACTTTTTATATTTAAGAGTTTAATACTATTTTACTATCTATCTTTCCTAATATTATTAGATATAACTAGTTAATATAGTCTATAAAGATCTTTTAACATTAGTATATAATAGAACGCGTTAGGAATATATTATAAACTTATTCTAATACTAAGTAGGATTTATACTAGTAATATATTAAGCTTAAGTCACTTCTATCTAATACTAGGGTATTCTCTCCTGCAATATCCTACCTAAATAATAGGTGTATAGTATTTCCTAGCGAGCTTTTCTACTAGGCTATTTAGGCTAGATTAGGGGTACAGGAACTTTGTAGAGTATATATATATATAAGTTAGAACACGTTTATAATATATTAATAACTATTTTAGTGTTACTTCTCTAATAGAGGCAATCTTATCTACTACCTTAAGAGGTATTATCCTAAGGTTTAAATAGCCCTAGTAAACTATAGCAGAACTATAATATAAGGCATTATAGAAGTAAGGATCTTCTATAGGAGCTTAATAGTAAATGCTTAAGAACGTGTTCTAAACACGTTAATAATACGTTCTCTACTAGTAGAGCAGACTATACTAAGTGCCTCCTCTAAGGTTTAAGAACCCTCTAAGATAGCTAGTCTATAATAAGAAGTAGTAGCTAAAGTAGAGGTTAAAGAGGAAGCAGAGAGTAAAGAAGAGGAGCAAATAGTTGCTCCCCTTTACACTATAAATAATATTTAGCAAAAGTAGCAAAAAGGAGATATAAGTCTAGTCTCTTAAAACACGTTTAGAATATATTAATAATATATTATAGCTAGACACCTATAAATACTAAATTCTTCTTTAATCTAAGGGACTACTAGAGCTTTATAATACCTATAAAAGTTAAAAGAAAAAGTTATATACTATTAAAGGACCCTATAAAAGTAAATAGTACTTTACTTTTAGTAGATAGAAAAAAAAAGAGAAGAGTAGAGAGTTTATTTTAGTAATTACTACTACCCCTTTAGGTTATATACTATTATATATTATTTATTAGAACCTATTCTTAATATATTCTTAATATATTCCTACTTATTACTATTATTATCTCCCTCCCCCTCTCTAGTATCTTCTCTATCCTCCCTATCCTCCCTAGGCTCTATAAAAGCATACCGCAAGTAGAACTAGGTAGTATTCTAGTAGGAATTAGCAAGGTCTACACTAGTATTAAAGTAACAGTCTTAAAATATATTAGGAATAGGTTAATAATATATTATAAATAACTTACTATAGCTAGGATAATTACAAGCGTAGATAGTATAAGGAACCTAATAACCTTAAATCCTTAGTAGGGTAGATATAGTAATAAAGTTAAGCTATAATAAGTTAGTAATATATTTTTAATAGGTTCTTGCAGGCTATACCTTATTACTATTATAGCTACTGCAAGTCTTCTTCTAAATTATATTTAGGAGGGTATTAGTATTTATAGGGGGGCCTATAGTAGCTACTAGCTAGGCTTAGAGAACTTCTATAAAACACGTTAGTAATAAGTTTTAAATATATTCTAAATAACTTATAGTAAGAAGTATTCTAATAATTATATATAACCTTTATATAGAAGTCTATATATATTAGTATAATAAGTTAAGAATAGGTTAATAATATATTTACTCTTTACCTTATAGACCTCTATTATAGAGGGCTAGCTAGTCTTCTTAACCCTACTAACCTTATAGTAGGCTATATTAAGCCTATAATCTTTTTTAGTATAGGTATATAAAGTGCCCCTAGTACCTAGAATAGCCTAAGAATATTAGAACCTATTTAGAACATGTTTAGAACCTATTCTTACTCTATATAAGGTGCCCTTGTTATTAATCTTAGTATAGTAGTAGCGCTCTCTACTCTCTATCTTAACTACCCTATTAGGGCTAACTATAGGCTATGCCCTAATATTATCTAGGACGTGGCTAAGGGTAAGGTACTATTAATAGTGCTTCTATAACCTATTAAGAACACGTTCTAAATATATTTTAATCTACTTACGTAGGATAAGAGGGATACGTTAGTAATAGGCATAGTAGCAGTAGCTTATAGTATTACTAGTATAGAATATATTTAGAATAGGTTTAGAACGTGTTGTAAAATCTTATAGCATAATGTTTAGTTAACCTCGCTTAGCTAGCTAGTAGAGCTTAGCACGGCCTAACCCTATGCCAAATACGAGTTCACGCAGCGCTAATTCCATGGTCATATGAACTGCGCCCTCGTCGAGGAAGGGGAAATCAGGGAACAGGTTATCGGCTGAGACTTGTTCAGTGTGTGTGCGTGTGTGTGTGTGCGTGTGTGTGCGTGTGTGGTCGCGACTTCCCCGACTAGGATGGCACGCCCGAAAGATCAATGCGAAACAATCGACAACATGGCCCATCCGGCGTTCTAGTCCCGTGCTTGCCTTTCGCTCTTGGGGCAGCACAGCCGAAAGCGTGATGACATGCAATCTACATGGTAGATGCCTACATGGAGTAGAGTACTGGCCAGTGTTGGGACAAGACCTATATTGTACTGGGAGCAAAGAGGTTATGCAGAGCGGATCCCCATCGCCAGCCTCCTCCCCATCGCCCAACGTGACTTGGCTAATGCCCGAGAAATAGGGGCTGGACCTTCTAGACTGTGCTGATCAGGCGAGCGGCTGTACAAGTGCATGCTGTGTGCCTACCTACCTAGAGTACCTACCTACCTACCTACCTACCTACTACACACTAGGTCAGAGTGACAAGCCAAGTCATACATCACGGTATGTACTATGTACTATGTAGGCGCTGTGACTGATCAGATGCATCTTCTTCTGCACCCACCGGTACCTGACAACACTCTCTCACCATTGCACCTCGTCCACAAGCGCAACCTCGCCTCCACCCATCTCCAGCCGTTCCAGATGCCGCCTGACTCAACCTGCTGTCCAACACGCTGTGCTCTGCAGGAAGCTGGACTTGTCGTTGGAACAACCATTGCATACAGACCGGGTCCCTGTACCTGTCCCACGTACAAAGGTTCTCATCAGTGAGTGATGTGCAAAACCCCCGATCAGATGCCCCGCACCCCCCTCGCTCCACATCGGGCCCTGTCCAACTTGAAACTGCGCTACTCCGAAAGCGATCAAAGAGAGTACATACTCTACTACATGTTATACCTGGCTCCACTGCCCTACAGAGTGAGTAATCGCACACAGACTGCCTACCCTACAAAGCACTGTGTAGACTGTGTAGAGCACGGAATGCAGGAGACCGAGGATGGTTCGGTGCACACAGTGGCAGGAACAGTGACCATGGCTGCTTCGAGTGCCAGATTGATCCTTCCCACATCTGCCCAAGGCCCAATCACAGTCCCACGCCATGGGCCCAATCACAGGTCCACAACGACACATGTGCATCTTCCTCACCTGAATCCTCAACCTCCATCATCCTTTCAGCACGGCCAATTCTCCATCATCCTTTCAACACGGCCAATTCTCCATCAGTCATGGTGCCTTCGGTGGTTTTGTGCTGGGGGACTGTACGGTATAAGACATGCATCCTGGCACTCGAGTCGTCTGCTTCTGTTGTTTCCTTGTGCTGACCTGTACCCTCTACTCCCGCCTTGATCTTCTACGCCCAACCTTCGACATGGCTTCCATCAAACTGTCTGCCCCACTCCTCTTGACCTCTTTGACCACGGCCGTTCTAGCGAAAAACTCTAGTCCTGTCGACCTGAACTGGCACGCACCCAAGAAGAGTTGGATCAACGATCTGGACCAGGTAATCAATGGCACAGGCACCAATGGATTCGTCTTTAGTGCATCGCAATTGCCCAGCGGAGTGCAGTATGGTACCTATAATTGGTGCAACATGCCACATGTGAGAAGGGAAGAATACAAAAAGGCCCCGGATGATTACGAACTGGTCTACGTCGAAGTGTACCTCTCTCCCTCCCTGTACACCAAGTAGCTATTTTCGACGCACGAATTGATCAAAGACAGCTTCCACCGTCACCACAAGCGCACACCCTATGCATCCAACACCTTCCCCCAAGAATCATACGGATGGGACTGCGACGACCAAGGCCTCTTTTACTACGGCGAACCCCTCAACCCCACAGGCAATGCATCAGCCCCAACCTACTGGTCCGTCTACACCGACCCAACCAATCCCTTTGCCCAACCCGGCTTCAAAGGCAGCTGTCAATTCCCCCAAATCACCCGCGGCGGCCTCGACGACTCCCACCAACACGGCAAAGACCTCTACGGCGTCTACCACGACCTCCTACACTTCCTCCCCTCCCAACCCAACCAACAAGTCTCCTACCGCGTCACCAACAACGTCATCACCTCGCAAGTCGCCGGCATGCTCATCAACGGCATGTACCCACACCCCCAATCCCCCATCCCCCTCCACATCCAACCCCCCAACATCGACTCCCTCGAACCCCAATACCCCTGCCCACCCGCCTCCTCCCTCTACACATCCTACAGCACCACCAGCACCGCCAAAAACTGGACCGCCCACCTCACAGCCGCAGCCCCCCTCTTCACCGCCCTCGACACCGTCTCCAACATCCCCCCAAACTCCACCGACTGGCACAAATCCTTCGACCACTACTACGACAACCTCTCCGCCCGCCAATGCCACGCCAAACCCCTCCCTTGCAACCCCGCAAACCCTTCCCTCTGCATCACACAACATCAAGCCGACACCGTCTACCGCCTCGGTCAGTACGAATACTCCTTTATTCACCGCGACTCCCCCGCCAGCCTCGCCGCCGCTACCGCTTCCTACGGCGTCTACTTTGCCGAACTCGCTCAGCATATTCGCGCCGCCCGTGACGGCCAGTCTGCTGTTCGTTATAGACATAATGTCGCACATGATGGCTCCGTCGCCCGCCTTCTAAGTTTCTTGCAGCTCGACTCCATGGTCTGGGTCGGCATGGGGAGTGAGGTCGTTTTCGAAGTGTATAGGCGGAAGACTGGGGGGCATGAGCATGAGCATGAGCATGGTGAGACTGACCCGGAAAATAAAGCCAACCATGCGATTCGCATCCTCTGGGGAGGCCGTGTCCTGACGAGCTCGAATCCTAGTCTGGGAAGTGTCGATATGCTGGATTTACGCGTCTTTTTGGCCTATGTGGATGGGCTTGTTGGAAGGGGGGCTGGGCGCGTCAAGCGGGCCTGTGGGTTGTGAGGGGGGTGGGAGAGTGCGGGATGGACATGAGATACCCTGTGTTCTCGTATCATGTTCCGTTTTACACGCACGATGACAACTGCAGCACATTTCCAATTCACTTCCAGTCCAGTTCCAGTCCAAAAAAGAATAATTTTTCCTTGCTGGACGACAAGTTCACTGCTACTACATCCCGCCGTCCATCTACCTACCCAGTTCCACGCTAAATGATATCTCCGCTTCATACCCAGCATATATTGCCCAGAAAAGAGAAAAAACATCCCACGTCCATCTACACATGTATGCACCACTCACATACACATACACAACCAAAAACCCCAGTACCAACCAACCCAACCCCCATCTATCTCTCTTTCTCTCTCTCACACACACACACAGAGACACACATATACACTCTCTTCCCACCCACGCCTCTTCTATACAAACACAACACGTCGCACATGGATCCCTATATATCAAAGCGTTCTCCGCTGCAGAAAACAAGCGTACAGCAAAGTCGTGAAAACAGAGCGAGAGTGTCGTGCGTACATGCGTGCGTGCGTGCGCAACAACGTGTTTCCACGTGAGAAACACTCCCGTCTATTCTACTCCCACTCCCCGCGCAACGCCAGCGATGCGTCTATGCCGTGTCGGCCGCCATACTATTCCGCCTGCCCTGGGGCACCAACTCGACATGGCGCACGCGCTCCCGCGGGCTAGACACGTGCGCGAGGGCGATGTCGGCCTGGGAGGCGTGCGTATCGCAGGAGCTGTTCATGGTGTCCTTGTGATCGGCGCAGGGGACGGAGGTTGTGGAGTCGTGTTTGGTGTTGCGGCCAGAGAGTTTGGCGAGGACTTCGCTGTAGGCGCGTCTCGTTTCCGAGCGGGATGTGTAGGCGTAGATGGTGGCGGCCCAGGCGCCTTGGAGGGGGAGGACGACAACGGAGCTGAGGTTGAGGCCGTAGTTTGGTTGACCTTTGTATACGAATGAGTAGAGGCGGTTGATGGTGGCTGGTGGAGGGAGCGATTAGCGGGGTGTCTTCCTTGGTCTGGGGGTGTCTGGGGAGGGGGGACTTACAAGGTACCCAGATCATGAACATGGCGACAAACATGAGCATAGCGACTTTGAGGTAAGTCATGGCCGCTTCATTGCCTTCTGGAGCGTGAGGTTTTGGGTGGCGGTTCGTGGTCTCTACGTTGATTGGAGGGAGGTCGGAGGGGGTTGCAAAGGCCGTTGCCCTGTAGCTGGATTTGCCATGTCCGCCGCTTTGGTTAGGATTCTTCTGAGGCTCCATAGCCTTCTCTACATCCTGTGGGAGTACAGAAGAGCGTACAAGAGGTGTGGATGCAGTGGCCGAGTTCAGGTTCTTGCTTGGTCCCGGGAAGTTGCGAGTGCTCGAATAAGAACTCATCGACTCTTCATCACCCTCACTTGACGCAGGCTTCTTTGCGGAAGGTTCACCGTCCACGGAATATCCTATCTCAGTCGTGACGACAATGTTGCGGAGATCTCCAAAAGTGCTCGGTTTCACCTCTGCAACAACGGGGGAGAAGCCCATGTCAGGCTGATGAGTTGGCGCTTTTGAAAAGTCACGTAGCAATGCACGCTTTCGATAGATATGCACGCCCGTTGCTACATAAATTGCGAAGGTTGCGGCGATCACGAGCCTTACGAGAGTCAGCGAGCGTCAGTCCTGAAAGGCGTATTGCTTACCAGACTGGGGCATAAAAGAACGCAATTCGCATCCAATCATGCTCTCTACTGATCCAGCACCAAATCTAGATTGTCAGACAAGTTCACTAGGTGGAGAGTGAGGCTAACTTACGACAGCTGGTCCGACAACGGACTGTCCAGTATGATCTAGAATCACAAAGATAATCGCTGGAATACCGGGTATGCCGTACGCTAGAAGGAAGTACCATTTCTCAAGTTTGTGGAGCTGATCAGAATTGTACCCGAAAAAGAAGACGAGGAGTACGTTGGTTGCCATACAAAAGTCCTGTATTTGGCTAGTCAGTTGGCGTCTACTGTCGCACAGGAGTCATCGTACCCAACAGGCATCTGCTGACATGAACCATTGAATCAAGACACCTTGGAACTCGCACAGCCTCGAGACATCACCACTACCTTGAAGAGGAAGTGCAGATGTCGATATCAACGTTGCGATATTCACCATAAGGTTGCCGAACGTAGCGTAGAAGATCAACCGATTGATGGCTGTATGTACGATTTCAGTATTCGAATTTGGTGTACGGACTGCAGCCACTCACGCTTTCTGAAATAGGGAAAAGCTATAAAAGTTCCCACGATGAAGAAGGAGCCCAAGACGGAGAGGACCGAAGCTGTGCGTGTGACGACTTCGATGGCTTTGTAATGCCCCGCCGAGAAACTGGAAGTAGGACTCGACATTTTGAGAGTATGGTCAGTTGAGCGGAAGGTTGTGTCTGTGAAGAGGCTGGTGGTTTTCTCTGAGCCTTGTATTCCGTGATCAACGCATGCGTGAAAGGTGCCTTGTCTAGACATGGCGGCGGTGGAGGGGCGGGGGGCGAAGTTGAGCAATCGGGCCCAGTGGCTGGGCGACACCAGCTTGTCTTTGTTGCAGCCAGGTTGGGGTGAGGTGAGTGTGAAAGGTCATGGTGGATTGGGTGCAATGGTCGATGCGCAATAAGGCTGCAAGGGTCCAAAGGGCAGCTGCACTCGTGGGGAGTCATCGTGCCTTCCCAAAACAACAGCCGTCGGTTGCCTAGAGGCTGGTGGCGGCTAGAAGTCTCATTTGCGCGGCAGTCAACTGTATAAACAGCGAGTCCAGCACGGGCTATGTGAAAGTGGCTTGAACGTTCTATCCGCGGAGGCGCACATCGTTTGCGTGAGTTGTCGAAATCCAAGGACAAAGAAAGGGAGAGAAGGACTGAGCGTAGCATTGTAGATGCTCTAACATAGCAAGAGAAAGATACACGTTGCATAGAATGTGTGAGATCCGAGCTTATACGACTCCTTCTTCACATGTACATGGTGGAATAGAGACTTTGGGGAGACTGTCAGACTACGCGTTTGAGGCATTAGACGTCCATTGCCAGAGAGGCTGGGTGACAGCTTCCCAGGTCATACGCTCGTCTCGTCGCTTGGAAGATGACATGGAAAGAAATGTAAGCATTGTCCAACTCTTTTTTTTAAAAAATGAATCGAGTATATTGTGGGTGTATCCTGCATACAGTACCGGTAGTCTCGAACGCATCTCGAAGGCGTGCAATGCCCTGCTCAGGCAGTCCAGGTCTTCAGCGACTTCAGCGAGCTCTTGGGGAAATCAACATCTATAATCATGGCAGTAGTAGCTTGAAGCTGCAAACAGCCAAAACAAAAGTACACGGCCGCTCATGGCGGTGGCTAGAATCTCGATAGAAACGTGTGAGGTTGACATATGGTGGTGGTGGTAGTGGTCAGCGATAGGCGATAGGCGAATGCCAAGAGATCTAACAATCTTGCCCCGCAGCTTCCCGTTGTTCCTCCCTTGTCACTTGTTAGCCCTTCCTCTTACACTCCACTAGAGACACCCTTGACGGCCACCAAGATTCGAATAGGCATGTGGGTGCATCTGTCAAAAGGCTTCCCATGGCTAGTTCCGGTCACCACGTGCATTCGGTCTTTTATTACACGATGCTTGCCTACTGACTATCTATGCATCACAGCCCTAATGCTATTTCGCGAGGAACTTACATGGTTACTTAGACTGTGCAGTCCTCATGTATGAGGATGTTCTTCGATGTGCAGAGTCGCGGGCCATGGAGATCTCAGTCTTGGACTTGTATCATCTCAGAACGTAGTGATTTCGCACGATGAGTTACGAGTCGAAAATGCACCTGTCATGAACAATGCAGCCACGCTACCAGCAACATGGAATAAAGACAACGAAAAAAGGGCACGCTGTCCCATCGTTGTTACCGACTCCCTACAACCTGATCTATTCATCTCAAATTGTGTATGGTTGACCTTTGCAGCAGGGGTACCAATATTGAGACATGAGGACGCATGCATGTCTGTACTCACATATTCAGCTCAACGTCAGCCTTTCTGTGTTGGAATCTTAGAAAATTCAGGGAGTCGTGGATGATGCAACTGCAGAGCCCTTATATAGGGTCTCTGCTGGGTGTACCCCCTATGTACCACACACGGTTCGTTGAGAAAAGGATCCATTTCCTGCGAAATCGCTCTCAAAATCAAGGGTAAGTCGAGTCGGCAATGGCTTGATATCGCGAACCATGATTTCCAAAGGCAAAAGATACTCATCTCATCAGATGCGAGCCCCACAGCTTTTGACGGAAAGCCAAGGAGCATAAGCAACGAGAGCATATTGCTTAGTCTTGTTCCCGTCACCATCTAGAGCGACTACATTACAGAATACGATAGTATTCGACCAAGATTTACTACATCTGTGGGATTCACTGAAACCCTGATTCGGGCATTCCTTTGTCCAGCACACCGATTGCACTTCAATAGCGATGACATTTCACATGGCCGCCTTTACAGGCCCCATGATTCCAGACACGCCTGGCCCAATCTTTTGCCATGTCCGCTGCTCTTCGCTGGTAACTCAAGATGAGAGACTTACCCACATGCACTTCTCAATAGGTCAAAAAGTCCATCGCTAGTACATCGCTTTATCGCGTGTCTCAATTTGCCTACATGCTAGCACCAACCGCCACTCTCAGGCAAGAAGTAGAATCAATTCGCAACGTCACGGGCATTTGCAACTAGCTCCGCATCGCTGCTTTCCACGGAGCGGCGCAGCCACAATGTAGGCAGAACAGTTTGAATCGACCGGTCATCAACATGCAGGGCTGTGCAAAGTACTGCTGAGCTGAATCTCACAGCTCTAGTCGAGACTTTGAAGGGTTTCCCTTGGGGAATCTTTTGCATAGGCTCTGGTTGGGGCTGAGATTGTGGCTTACTTGGAGCGGGGGCAGGGGGGGTGGTAGAGCAAGGGATATCCAGTGCCAGCCCGAAAAAAAGGAAAGCTAGTGGGGAGTTATGCGACTTCTAGAGCCGCAGAGTGTGGGGTATAAGAAGCATAAGAAGCGGCGTTGGATCCTTACCTTGGGTCTGGTGGCTGTCATAGGTTATTGGCGAGCTCGACAATGGGATGTGATTTTCGGGTTACTATCGCAACGACTTCGTATGTTCACGTGAATTCCATAGATACCTGACGGTTACCTTAACACTGAGTTGTACCTCTCATTCCTGAATATGCAAATGAGCTCATCATTTGCACATGTATGTGTAGGAAAGATTGAAAGAGGCGAATCACCGTGGAACTTGCAAAGAGGGTGGTTTCAGTAAACAGTGCATGGTTCACAGACAATCGATGGAGAAGCGCAACGCTTGGCCCGCATTCTGTTGCGAGCTCTGTTTTATTTGTTTATTTGCCCGTATATCTCATTTCTTATCTGGGAGCATCTGCCCATCATGTTTCATGATATCGTTGGTCGACCGTACAGTCATCGCAAATCAATTGTTGGCTCGCACTAGTTGGCATCTCCGCAAACCTGCAGTTACATCTATAGCTCTTCCTTCTCAACACCTGCGATCGAAACCAACTCGGACTCAAAGACTGGTCCATGTTAGCATGCTGTCATGTTTAATGTCGAATATAATCTGACGTACTCAACACGCTGTCAGCGGGAATGGGGCCAGTGCCACGGCTACCATACGCCCACTCCGGCTGAATCGTGAGCTTCCTCTTCTCGCCTGGGCACATTTCGAGAAGACCCTGGTCCCAACCCTTGATAACCTGGCCCTGACCAACGGTGAAGTCGAGGGGATCGCCGCGGTTGTAGGATGCGTCAAACTCGGTGCCGTCAACGAGCGTACCGCGGTAGTGGACCTTGATTTTGTCGCCGGCCTTGGTTGGGCGGGAGCACGTGACGGCAGTGAGGACTTCGGTCTGGAGATGCTACATATTCTTTGTTAGTGATGTACTATCTCCAGAAGGCGGTACGCGAGACTTGAGCGAACACTCACGTCATTGTTGATGATCTCGGCAAACGCAGCCGTGGCCAAAGCGAGGATGACTGCGACCTTCATGGTGACTTATAGACTGTGGAATGAAGAGGTTTGACAGAGTTTCTTCAAGCTACGGTGTTGCAATGGCTGTGGCGGAGACTGGCAGACTGTCATGATGTCCTTTGTGGGGAACATGCCAAGCGGAGATGTGGCCCGATTCCATCACGACAAGGATGTGATTGGACAGATTGGACCCTGAAATCGACTATCAATCTTAATCCTCACCGCGTTTCCTCTTCCTCAATTCTGGCATTTTTGTATGTGTACAGCGCAATCACATGTCGTCTTTAAAAAGATTTTTTTTCGGTACAGAAGATGAGAGCCTGTGCTTGACAATTGAATTCCCTCACGCTCTCCACTTAGTATCTGGATATTTCAGCGCCTTTCTGTGCCTGAAACTTGGTGTGGTGTCATTGCACAAACTCATGCCGTAAGCCATCAAGTGGGCTTTCTCGTGATTGAGACTCATCGCCGTCCCTCGAAGAACCGCTTTTCTAAAAATCATGGTCTATGAATCCTCATTCATAACCTCAAGGTCAATTGCTATTTTCGTCAGAGTCTGCTACCCCATACCTGCACTGAGTACGCTCCCAGAAGCTCACCATTGTAACGGCGCGTATACAGCAAACTCCAAGATGTTGTTGTTTTCAATCTAGATCAGACTTATACAAAAGACTATGTCAGTATCTCCCTCACCCGTGATCTAGAAGGCTTTTGAAGCGATGTAGCAGAGCACGGTCGTTTGTTCGCACGTCAGGCTTTTCTATTACATTGTCCTGAACTTTTTTTTAATGGGTTAGCACATCACTGCACTCAACAACCCTAAGCATGCCCGATTCCACATACAGTACCCATCCCAGAATTCCTAATTTTTCGCTCAAAAACCATCTCTATCCGAGACAATCAAGAGTGCAGAAGCGTGCAGACAGTATGATTCCAGCAGGCCGGCTAGCATGCCAATAACTGCAGCTACTAGATGGACTAACATGAGGGGTTCTGAACAAGAGCCGAATTTTCATAAGCCTAGATCTATGAGTATGAGTACACGATGCAGATCAACAAGGGAATCATTCAAAATTCTACGAAAGCCACTATGAACTTTGATGTTGCCCTTCGATGCGTAAGCGATGCCTTCTCTGGGAAAGGCACAACGGAAAACATAGAGACAATTTTTTTTGCACTTTTGCAACATACTCCAAGTTTGTTTCGCTATCTGTTTATCCGATAGTGTATAATCCCTAACATAACCCTTAGGGCGGTCCCGAAATAGCTTCTTGTACATGGTAGACTGATGCCAGCGCAGCCAGAAATATAGTATACTGAAATGGCAAGTCTCTTGATTCTCGTGATTCTTCGACTATGAAACATTGATTCTCTTGGTTGTCGGTCCTCGCTCACATTACAACATAACGGGCATCATTTCTTGCTTTGTACTATGCCTCTTTCAACCTCACAGATTCCCGTATACAAACACACAGTATTCACCTCAGGATTATTGTTGTATTCAGCTTGTTGTCTCAAGATCAAGTTTCGTCGTTTAGAACTTCGCACGTCCGAGTCACTTTCTCTTTTTACGCGCAGCGCGGTCTGGACCGTTTGCACTTGCAGCTGCACACCACCAGATTCTGCCCACTATTATATCCACGACGCGCCTTTTCAGCCAGCACTGATTGTAAGAACTAAACTTTTTCAGCTTTCAGGCCGATCCATCTAAACAACACACACTGTTCACACCTTCTTGCATAACCACTTTAGCATTATGGACTCGACAAGCTCTTCTACTGCGCACGCCGCCGATTACATGACTGCTCGCGCGGACTCGAAGCCGTCTTTATCATCTATGGAATGGAAGGCGCAATGTTCCATTTGGACGAACGTTCTCAGTACCAAAGACACTCGCGCTTGTGAGCTCGCAACAGTTCATGCCACTTTGTTCAAGGTCGCTAGACACACTGCGGCAATGAACCAGACCACAAAATTCAGTGAGCTCACTGGACAGCTTCTTGAGAGCCGTATCATCCTCGAGAAGCATCTCATCGACACCCAGCAAGAGGCGGAACATGCGCAGCGTATGATTGACTTCCTCACGGCTGATGTCGTCGTACCTAAGGCACGGCATGTACAGAACAAAATCTTCCTTCAAATGGCAGAGTGTCTTCAAGGCACAGATCCAAACATGAAAGTCTGTGATCTGTTGGAGAAGATCACAACCAACCTGATCACCATCGAAACACCTCCGAGCAACAAGGTAAACTTCTTCATCAATCTTGAAGAAGTGAGCTGACATCTCAACCAGAACCAGAATAATTCCACCAGCCCCCAAGAACCTGAACTCGCTCGCGGAGTGACAAAGTGGAATACGAACCAACAGTCGAAACACCTCACTCTTGGATTTGATAGTGAAACTCCACTGGGAGAGGAAACTCGAGCATTCAAAACCCCTCAAAAGCAGACCGAAACGGCGCATCCTGACACCAGGAATATCGAGAACGACCAGAAGAAGGAGCGACGAAATGCAAAGATTCCTATTATCAGCAACAATGGCAAGATTCGCATGAAGACCAAGACCGTTGGGCGAACATCGTCAGCAGCGCAAGAGACTGTAACCGCCACCAACAAGGTTAATAAGGTCCCTACTCATCAACGAGCTACGAAGAGTACTGTTGCAAAGTCGTTCAGAAGGGCTGAGGCAGCCGTCGCACCACAGAAGCAGGTGCAGAAAGACGCCAACGCGCAAGTCGCGAAGTCATCCAAGACACACAAGGCTACAAATAGTAGCACTATCATAAGTGCAGTCCCTTTCTCTCAGAAAAGCACCAGCCAATTTGCTCCATCAAGCTCTGGGTCCGACAAGTCCTTCAGCTCCGCGGTCGTATCCAGCCCGAGCCCTGCCATGACCCGACCTCTACAGCGAAAGAGTAGCGCCACGGAGGGCCGCAAAGGCCAGCGTCAAGCAGGAGAGCCTGGTGTTGCGCGTAAACTGACCGCAAGGGAGCGAAATGAGCGATTGAAGAAGCGGGAAGAGGAGAAGATCGCAAAGCAGGCACAAGAAGCCTTTACTAAAGAATCGACTTCTGAATCTGAAGATACCCAGATGCGTAGGAACCACAAAAAGTCACAAAACAGCAAGACTAAAGGTGTAAAGAGCACCACTGTCGATTCAAGAAAGAATGAAGACGATGGCGTGCCTGTCGCCTTAGAGGGCCTTGACACCAGTAACATTATCTGGGCAGGTAGTCGTCGCCGCACTGGAGATGGATCCCAGTCAACAAGAGATAGCGCCAGTTCTGGCATCGAAACGTCGAATGGTAGCAAACGGAAACGCGACAACGATGACGAAGAGTATGCTAGTGTGAAAAAAGTTAAGAACGCTCGTTAAATACTTTTTGAATACATGGCAGCGATATGGTCAAGTTGTGATCGTATCCCAATAAGTATGATTGACGCTATCTGGGTCGCAGTGCTTCGGCAGTGCTCATCAAGCTTTTCATTCTGCCCTAGCTCTTGAAAATATCTATAGGGAAAGCATCTACAAGCGCTTGATATCCAGCCACATTAGGGTGAAGGCCATCGCCTCCATTGTACTTTGGATCCAATTGTTCGATATTGTTTTTATTCGCGATTATTCCGGCAAGATCCACCGTATAGTCAAAAGTTTTGCTTTCCAAGATCCACTTGTTTACTCTTTTCCTCGTCCTCTCTCGCTCAGTGCCCTGGTAGCTATTGCCTCCAAATGGAGTGATAGTGCCTCCAATGGTTATGAGGCCAGCCTTCTTCGCGTCCGCAACGATCTGCGTGAAGGCTTTGATCAGTTGGTCGCCGACGGAAGTCTGAGTACCAGCATTATTAGCACCTCCACCAATGTCGTTGACGCCTTCGAATATCATGACCCATTTTATACCGGGCTGTTCGATTCCTCCCGCTTATAGCGGGTAAGAAGTGTGGGGCCAAGACCTCCGCTCAGAACGGTATTTCCTCCTGCAGCTTGATTGCATACGGCTACATTGCTGTAATTGGAGGTTTGTAGTCGCTTGAGGAGTAGATCAGGCCATCTGTACATAATCAGATAGGTGGTTAGGGGAACAAGGGTTATGCAATTTACCTGTTATTCTTGTTGTCGTCAGAACCTCTTCCATCGGTTATACTATCACCGAGAATGATGAGAGAGTGCGAATCAGGGGGGACATAGGCTTGCACAGCGCTAACAAAGTACCTGCAAAACAATCAACTTTCGTTCGACATAGCTTCTCGATGTCAACGTACCAATGAACACTAGAAGTGCTACCCGACAGCGTTGTCGCATTGGCTTTGTTACCACTAGCAAGCCAACTGGTTGTCCTGCTTCCTGGATGTCCAGTTATACTACTCCCGCTTTGGCCTTGCTGGCTGTAAAGACTGACAGTGAGCATACTTTGGGCCTGGACTTCGAAATCGATCTCATCACTGGTTACAACTTGCCCACGGGATACTGTGAAAGAAGTCTTTCCTCCAACCGTAATGGCGGCCAATGGTGATGGCTGGATGCCACTCACACCTGCGGCACCACCAACTGGTAGACCTACAGACCCTGCAGTAATGGGCAAATCGGATCCACCAAAAGTATTCGATATAGTTATTTTGATCTTGGGAGCGCCGACAGACATGTGCAGTGTTTGACGAAGTGTCGCATCCTTCAACACACTACCTGAGCTCTATCACTGATCAGTCGCCAAACTGAAGGTGGGCATCGTGAGTACATACGTAGGGTGACGGTGGCATGTTATTAGGTTCTACCAACTGTGGCATGCTAGTCCACGTGTTGATCCAATGATTCGCATCTTCCCGTCGGTTTATTCCGTCAATTGCAAGGCCATGAGCTTGAAGTGATAGAACAGCAAATGTGGCAAGTATGCCGGATTTTGGATTGAGAAACATCATCGTGAACCAAAAAAATTCTAGCCACCGAGTTGTCGTAAAAGTTGCCCTATGACAAGCACGATAGCCTGCAGGCAGCAGACCATAGGTATTTGAGAAGCTCTTTGAAAGTGGCTGCAATCAACCGTTTTTCGGTACTTTGATATAAAGGGCGACATATAATTATATAGAGCATGGTAAGTTTGTAATATACATGGCTAATGTCCATGTTGTCCGAGCTGGGATACCGGTACCGGTACCACCGGGACCGGTATCGCAACAATTTTCAACGGGCACATCTGAAGTCGTTCTGGAGGCCAGAATTGGTACCTGTAGCTAGGTAGTAGATACAACACCAAACCACTGAATTCACTAGGATAGTTCAATGCAGCTGCGTGGATCTAAAATTAACGACATAAAGCTGCAGAGATTTGCAGTACTCATCAGTCTCAGCATTGTAACAGCTTCTCAAAAGCCTGTAGGAATGCCAAGGTCTGCCTGTCGCTAAGGAAACCAACAAAGGACCTACCACCATTGGTTGGCCAAGGAATGTTTCAGGTTAACGCCAGTCTCTAGCATATGAGTAACGATTTTCCTATTCTCTACTTAATTGAGTCCACATTCTTCAGAGGAGGAGAAAGTTTCATGTATCGCATCATTCCAAGCAGAGCACCTCACTTTGTGTCGGACTATCGCACGCTGCATCAAACTGCAAACGGAATCTCAATACTTTTGCGTCACGTGGACGCGCCCGCTTCTACATGTCGGCACAAGGACACGCACAGACCGTGTATCAATCACGTGAGGTTCCTCTCAAGGCAGACGATGGAATTATCCAGAGAAAGTAATCAGTACCCACAGGCTGCTGTATTTCATCGTATCACCCGGATACTAACAGGAAAACAGGCCCTGACCCCTACCGCTATACGAGTGGCCGATGGCTCCGTCGCGACGTGCTGGAACGAGAATCGCGTCTTATGCAATTCGACTTTGATGCTCTACGCCGCAAGGTTCTGACACTATATTGTCCTGGCGCCAGCTCTATCACTTCGTACGACAAGAAAGAAGGTGGCTTCAACAGAGTGTTCATATTTCATACTGATAACGCCAAACGTATTGTTGCGAGACTGCCATTTGCATTGGCAGGGCCCTCGAGCTTGACGACTAACTCCGAAGTTGCAACGATCAAGTACCGTAGGCTCCACAGTGCGATGCTTGAACAGAAATGGCTTTCTGACTAACTGTTCTATATCTTTCAAGTGCAAGCCGAGACTGAAATTCCTATTTCGAAACTATTAGACTGGAGTGACGACGCTTCAAATGCCATCGGTAGCGAATATATCATCATGGAACATACATCAGGAGTTCCATGACATGAAAGATGGCCAACTATGGACGTGAGCGATCGAATTGGGTCCATAAAGGCAATTTGCCAAAAGCTCAAGGCAACTGTCGACTTCAATTCCCCAGCGTACGGTAGTTTGTACTTCGCTGAAACACCATGTCTTCCCAATTCGAAGCTGTTGTTGAACCGAGAGTTCTATATCGGTCCTCACTGTGGGGCTATGTACTGGAACTGTAATGTTGGACAGCCGAGATACTACCACGATGTCAAACCACGATGTCAAACCAAATCAAGGACCCTGTAAGCCATTTCGTGTTAGTTGGTACTAGGGAAACGCTGAGCTATTCCTGTAGGGTCGGAACTCGCCGAATACTGCGACGGTCTCATCGTCGCCGGAATTTCTAGAATCCCACCATCCGGATCTTTGCCAAAACATCCACGTTATCAAGGATCTATTGAAACACATAAAGATCTTCTCAATTACGGTCGCGCAGTGTTGAAGGAAATGGCTAAAAATTCCTGGATTCAGGATGTAGCCAGCCCTGTATTGTTCCACCCCGATCTGCATAAAAGAAACATATTTGTCTCAGCAGAAGATCCCACTGTCGTTTCGGCCATCATCGACTGGCAGTATATTAGCATTGAGCCAGCGTTCTGGTATGCAGATGCGACACCAGACTTTGCGCAACCCGTTCCTGAACCCTTGAGCGAGGATACCATTGAACCCAAAAGCGAGGCATGTGCAAAAGCATATGAGATTTGTCTGAAATTCTTGGCTCCAAGGCTGTCCGCGGCGAGATCATTGGAGGAAGCTTATGTTCGGTCGTTTCGCTACTACTATCGCACTTGGGAAGATGGCGCAGTTGCATTCCGTGAGGAGCTGATCCAGACATCAGAACTTTGGAAAGAGCTTGGGTTCGCGGTGCCATGTCCCTTTCCTCTCCCCTCTCCCGATGAAATCGCGGCTCATCGGAGAGAATACAAGCTCTTTGAAGCGGCGCAACAGCTGAGACACAGCCTACGGCATCTGCTTAATATCGCATCTGACGGGTGGGTTCCTTTGGAAGATTGGGAAAGAACTCAGTCCGTGCATCGGGAGGTTTATGAAGGGATGCTGCAGGAAGTGCTCGGAAATGAGCAGCCCGATGACGATGAGCCGATCAGAGGCGAAGATGATCTCAAAGAGATCTGGCCATTCGACCTGAAACAATGAACCTTTACCAAACAACAGCAGGAGAGGCATGCAGTCTGCTTCTAAGCCGTCATCTCGCTGCAAAGATGTGTCTCACGATATCGGGTAAATTCAGCCCCAAGTAGCCGTTGCCGTTCCCATCAGTCCCGAGGACGTTGCGACTTGGCAATAATACAACCGATTAGATCTGCCCAAAGAAAATTGTTTACTGGTCAAATATGTCCCCAAAAGGAATAGGAAATCTTTTGAAAAATACGGATTCTCTCACTGGCTCAGCCCATAATTCCACTCCGGGGGCTGCAGACGGCCACCGTGAATTGCCAACCACATCGAAGGATGCTGAATTCGACTGTCGTATTCATACAGGTCGGTACGACTCCGCCACCGACGAACCTAAATTCATTCTCCAGATCACTCGCAAACAAACGTATGAAAGAACTGGACGAGGAAAGACTCGGCTCATGACAAGTTAGCCATGTAGGCCTTCGATACAGCCACTAGGGATATGAAGACGGAGGTTGATAGAGTGGTGAAATCACTTGCAACACGAACCTAGAGGAAGCTCGATTAGATGGGGATTATTTTTGTACACGCAACAAGCTTCTGACGAATTTGGGATAAGTTTCTCAATCGGGGCCGTAGCCCGGTTAATGTTACGACCCCATTGAGCGCCGGTTCGCGTGTTGTGGCTATGAAATTATTTCTCCGTGACCTCCTCAATTGGAGCCTGGGTAACTGGATTCTTGGAGTCAGGCAATTGTCGCCATTCCATCGTCCAGCTTATTATCCACGCAAGGGTCGGTGTGGCTAGACCCACCCAGAAAACATTCCTCAACGCCGAATTGAATGAGGTGATAACGGCATCCATAAGGGGAGAAGGAACAACCTCTCTGAAACCTCTTGCACCGGCTGCTACTACGGCTGCACCATCGATCCCCTGAATCTTGTTCAGATTTTGCAGTAGTGCATCAGTAAAGAGATTCTGCCCAACGCTAGGAGCCAAGGCGCCCCCAAGCATCTGAAAAAACATGACCACAACAAGGCCTGTAGGTATATCTGCTCTGTCGAGGACAACTTGCACAGCCAGAATCGGCATTTGGCTACAACTTCCATAGCCAAGCCCGGACAGAATTTGAAACCCAATCCAGTCTCCACGGGGACTGTCGACACGAACCATTTGATAAAGTCCCCCTCCGGTAGCCAGTATAAGAGGCCCGATCCACATGAACGGTACATAGTGCCCGAATCTCGATGCCAAGGAACCAGCGCAGATCGTTCCGAGGCTGTTCGATACGATCAATGGGAGTAAGTTAATCCCCGAATCCCTAGCACTGGTGTTCCTCACCGATTGGAAGTATATAGGCCAGTAGTAAGATTGCAGTACTATGGCCACCTGCACAAGCATCATGAAAGCACATGACGCCGATACTGTGCGACTTCGGAAAATGTGAAGAGGGATAGTGGAGCTTCGAAGACGTCAGCAACTGTGTTCATTCCCAACCCAGCCTTTGCACAGAGGAGAAGACAAGTTGCAGGGGAAGAAACTAACCTTTCTTTCCCTCGGAATTGCAAATACAAGAAGGTAATCAAGAGCAAACCGAATCCGATCAGACACCCGAATACCTTGGAATCAGACCATGGATAGACTATACCGCCCCATTGTAATGCCAAGTTTAAACATGATGTCGCACCTAGTAACAACACAGCCCCTGGAAGGTCAAGTTGACGTAGCTTTTGGATCCAGGGTATACCCCCCTTCACTGGTGGTGGTGGTTGCCTCAAGGTGAACCAAACAAGAACAAGCCCAACAGCTCCGAAAGCTGGAGATTCTTAGCTAGCAATTCTGATGAGAAAATGGGGCTTCCATCGCCGGCAATGACTCACGAAGATTGATCCAGAATATGAACCGCCAGCTTAGCACCTTGCTGTCTGTTATGGCACCGCCCACGAGTGGTCCAATCGCGGACCCAATATTGTACACGCCCAGGACCATGGGCGATATCATCGCCTGGGTTTTCAAAGAGACACAATACGCCAGGATAGTTGTTGTTCCGCTCACCAAGCCAGCGGCACCAAGGCCAGAGACTGCTCTCCCTATGATAAGCGCCATGGAATTTGGGGCGACCGCAGAGATAATAGATCCAATTTCAAAAACGGCCAGCGAGATGCAATACACCCACTTAATGTTGTAGAATGCGTAGAGACGACCACAAGTAGGTAGTAGTGCCATCTGCGCGATCAAGTAAGAGGAGCCATACCAACCAATGTCATTGAGGCTTTGAAAATCGCTGCTAATCTGGGGTATCGCGGTCGCTTAGTGCGGTCATTAGTTCTTATGGAAGCTGGCTCAGAGCATGCGAAAACAAACCTAGGATGGTGTTGTCAATTGCCAGTACAAAGCAGATGGACATGAAAGCCAATGTCAACGAAGCGAGGGCCCATCCTTGCATGTATTTAGTCGCAGGCTGCTCTTCACTTTGCTGCGTGTCAGTCACTTCTGTGGTTGTCCCAGTAGGTTGGACAGTCTCTGATGCAATGCTCGCCATGCTCTTCAAATGCGTATTTGGGTATCGTAGGAGGCTGATGGAAAATGGATATAGTACGTCCACAGATCTAGAATTGGGCCATGTAGGATGCGCGCCTTGTAGTAAAGAACAACTAAGAGCTAGCAAGCCAGCTCAGAATGCATAGTGGGATGGTATCCCCTGTGAATCATAAGCCAATTAACATTAGGCGGCCAGTGTGGGCCGACAAGGGGGCGGGGAAACAACGCGTTCACAACTTCCCTTGTACAAGAGGGCGAGATGCCACCTCGGCTGGATATCGAGTACAATTCGCATTCTCTCATCCGAGCTAGCAAGGAGTACTGTTGGTGTGGGGGCACCTGTGAAAGGCTGGGCAGTGGGCCATAGAAACTTCCGAACATCTCGACCGATTTCCCCACAAGCTGTGATTGTGCGAAAAGACGGACTGCATATCGCGCATCACTCTAAGGGGCAACTCTTCTCAGTGAGTTCGAACCGAATCTAGATATTCCATTCACCCGCTGCATCGTTCCGCATAGGGGCTGATGTTTAAGGGTGGCCTTAACGTTAAGACCCGTTTACCCGCTGCAAGGTGCCGCCCGCTGATCAACACTTGGGGGCAAAAGAACTCTATTTAGCACTTCGGCACGACATTATTAGGGACAATAATATAAAACCTATGCCTGCTCATTGCGCCACGCTGCTTTCGAAGAAGTTGAACATCGATAATCGCACCAATTAAACACAGCCACCGCAGTCGCTGGACTGCGCAACGGGTGAATCGGAACTTGATGCACAGATCCCCGTATGAAGATGTCGGACATGGCATTGGAGGCACTGCTACTATCTGTTGTGTTGTATATTATGCATGGAGTTGCAAGTACCGGATCAAGCTTATCTAAGGCACCCACTTGGCCACAGCTAGTGCCATTCATGTCCTGTGGTAAGATACATGAGGCTTACATGTGCAATCGACTGACTATACTAAGCTATCTGAGGATTTTAGTATTATAATTCATTTATAGCGTCCAACTCAATCTAATATTTAGTTTTGAATTGTTATAATGATGCAATGATAGTATCAAGAATCTTCGTCTGCACCATGTAGCACCTAGGAATTGAGGCGAGAAATGCATCCCCAATGCTCAAAAAATACCTCAGCTCGTGGAACATTTGCTTCCATTCGTAGATTCAGCTGGTATTGACCACATTGTGATTAACACATGGATTATTTAGAGGGCACCCATGCCATAATGTAATCTTGCATATTCCGACAGGTAGTGTAGAGTCCAAGATGTGAAATTCTGACATCCGAACGCTAGAAAAATATCAAGACGCAGAAACCGCAGGTACCTTTGACTGGATAACCATAGAAAGGATTATGAAGCGCCAATGAGACGAAAGACAAAATGAGTGGAAATATTCATCTCTTTCGTTTCGAAAACATATTACTATCCTAGCCTTCGATATCCTTGGTATCGGCTACCCTAGTCAACCAATTGTCATTATTCATGGTGAAGTAGACGTATATGTCTACAATAGGGCCAACAATATCCATGAACAGAAAGGCCCATACTTGACGTGCACAGTAGGGGTAATTCTTAAGGAACGAACTGTATGTGGAAAAATATCCGTTCCATCCAAAGGTGATCCATGCCAAATATGCATAACTGTTAATATGTCAGTATGATTCAAGGTGATTCATCTAAACATATGGAAGAAGCAGAGTGGGTGAAGTACTCACGCAACCCATGGTGTTGTGTGGAACGTTTGAAACCAAGCCCAAACATATGCAAAAGCCCAGATGGGTCGTGCCAGACGCTCCATCATCTTGAAGGTCGTGTAGGGGTGTCTCCTAGAAGTGGACTGTTAACGAAGCAGATAACTCTCCGCGACAAAGGGCTCGCGAAGAAGAAAAATTGGGTAATGACGTACTGCATCATTCTTCGATAGCCAGGATACGCAAAGATATACCCGAGGAAAGTACGGAAATTGCCACGGTCCCAACGAAGCACCTGCCAAACAAATTTATGGTTCTGAGGAATGTTTGTGGTAACTTCAGCTTCGATAATGTTCTGAATTGTCACCTTCCATCCGCGGTCAAATATCAACCCTGTCAAAACAACGTCATCGGCAGTATTCACCACCCGACGACCGATGACCTCCTGTGTGTATGCGTCGGCGAAGCTCTGATTCTGGATGATTGAAGCACGCATAAAAAGTGTTCGTGCTGATAAGCACCAGCAGCCTCCGTCCGCCGCAAAGTGCACCTCCCGAGAGCTTTTCCACTGGTTCAAATCAAAAGTCGCAATCGATTCCCAGGGAGTGATCACTCGTGAATCTTGACGATCGGATGGAATCTCGGCGCTGGTAGAAGTTTCAGTCCCATGTTTCCTTGAAGGCGAAGGCTGAATTCATGAAGCTAACCTCTGGATACCAGCAACTGCACCAACCCTAGGATCTTCAAATGGGGCTAGGAGGTAAGGGACTACGCCGTCGGATCGCCAGTAGACATCATCGTCCACCAAAGCAAAGATCTTACCCTTTGCCGCTTTCACTCCGACCATTAGCTGATGACGTTTGTTGGCCAAAGGCGCAATCACAATGACTATCTTGTCGGCATCCTTCTGGAGGGGTTTTATGAGCTCCATGACACGGGCTTTGTTCCTCTCGACGGTTGCGATTATGATCTCACGAGGATTGGCCTTGAGCCAAAGACGCATGCAATCGGTGAAGGTAGACTCGGTGTCTATCGTGGGAACTATAACGCTCACATCTTCGTGGCTGTAGTTTGGGCGTTGGGGTAAGGGTACTGGCTTGTACTTCCTAGAGTAGTAAGATATGACAGCTTTATCGTAGACACTCCAGGACCTGTCACGAATCAAGTCAGTCATCTTGCAAATTTCAGGTGGTTTGACATGTCAACGTTACCATAGTGCTCCTAAGGCTAACGCCATCTCAGATGTCCAGTCAAGCAAAAGAGGTCCTTCAGTGCACGTCCTTGGTCGAAAAGAAGTGGAGAAACTTTTGTGCTGTCTAGGTCAAAGGGATATTGCTCAGAAAAATGTTTGTCTTCTTATATTGAACTCTGAACTTCTCGTCCACGTTGTCCCAGATACGGTAATTCGGTCAATGCCAAGAGTCGTGATTCCAACCAATGTGGCATCATGTTCTGGCTGTTTACTCCGAAGAATCCAAGAAAAACGTAGGTCTGTAAGTGCTAGGCCAAGCCTGAGATACCAGTCGGTTTGTTGGCCTCCGAAGGACTACATTTGGAAGGTGTCTACAATGGTAACGTTATTAGGCAAAAGTATTATACATGGTTTGACCTGCACAGGGATGTTGATTGTGGAGACTTTAATGCAAGGAAAACACTTTAAGATGTAATTCCTTTACTTCCTTACTTCTTTCGGCTTGTGTGGCGATTTAGCGGTCAACGTACTAGTAGAGCCGGAAAGATCACACAACAAAAAGAAAAGCAGTGTAGATAAGCATGTGCATTGTGTCGTTGCGCATACAAGTAACCCAAAATGGCACGGCATAACCATGTACAATACTTTTGTCTGTAGTCACAGCAAGGCGTATCCTAATGGGGTATGCAGGACGTACAAAGACGAGCTAGACCTAATTGGGAAAGCGTTTTGAATGGGGCGAAAGTTGAGGTGGATCTTAGAAACGAACAGTGCGTTTATGGTACCTAAGCACGGGAAGTAAATGCGGACGGTAAAGGCGTGCATTAGATGCGGGTCACCCCGCAACTTCTCTCCCGCATAACCTCATCTCGTTATGGAGGCCTTAAATATGGGTTGTATGTTTTACACATCGCCTTCTAGGTCTTACATGTCGTCCTGGAAGCCTTGCATATCACCTTGGCGGCCTAATGTCTCACCTTGGAGGCCTTGCATACCACATTGGTGGCTTGAACTCTCGATGAACCTCATACTTGCATTATCTCCACTAAGATGTGCTACCCTATCCGGCATATTGTACCAGTCGCTAGCGAATGCAGCTTCATCTTCACAAACGGTTGCGACCGCTTGTGGGCCCTCCCACCTCCGCACGACTCACTAAACTCCATAGATTCTTTGAAGCATATGCTATGCATGGAGCGAAGGAACAGAATCCTTCTTAGCCGATTTCTATAGTAGTTTGGTCCAGACGATCACGAACGTAAGAGTCGTTGTGTCGCCACATGGTTCTTGCATATTTCCTCATCGGCAGAATCCTTACTGCATGTGCATCATCTGGCCAATTCCTATCTCGATGTTCCGTCTTGGTTTGATGGATTAAGCGGCAGGGAGCAAGAGGAGAAGACATTCGATCAGGGTCAAGTGGGCAAACTCGACCTTGTGATGGCAGTGACGGTAGCGATTCCTCTTCACATTACATGGTACAAACACAGTTTGTTGACTAATTGGCGGCCTTTCAGTTTAAATAAGGTGTAGTTTGTATTGGTTTGCAGATCCATTTACATTCTACGTTGTTGTATGACTTCATCGACTTTCACTGACAATGTCGTAGCAACTTGGAGTTTCTCACCGCTAATGCTCTTATCAACGGCTTGCTTTTGGCTAAATTGTCACATGAACATCTCCAAAATACTAGCTCTGGTCGGCATTCAAGGCTCACGCATGATTGTACATGCCACTAATGCACATCAACTACTCATCCGTAGTACTTCACTGTTTAACTACATAAATCCAATCTAACAGTGATTCGTTCCAGGCCATTTTTCGTGGAAAGACTTGGTCAATGGCCAATATGCTAGATAATGCAAATCATGGTCGTCTAGACGAATCATACACCATTTGGTCTCTTGAGAATCGTCACAAACCTTCCAGTCTTGGTCAAGAATGGCCTGTTGCGATTGTATTGGATACAGTGATTCGACCATCTGATGACATGTGGAGAAAGCAATGTGACACTCTGCTAGTACTAAGGGCCAATAACACACTATGTGGGGCGTTTTACACACTCATTTCATCGGACTCCGCTCTAGCAGAACGTCGGTCACGAGGATTATTCTGGTAGACATCCCGCTATCGTTCTCATTCCCCAAGCTTAACCCGCATTTATCACACAGACAGAGGCCTAGGCCGCCCCCCGCACTTGGACATGTGCCATACCCCGGTGTAGATTATGGATGGATGGAAATGTTGAGAAAATCTTTCTTTTTTGCCGAAGGATCATACGTATACTCATTCGGTTTGCCACATGACCAACACTGACCTGATGTTCTACCCTACCACCACCAGTGCTCCTCTATATCTACTCATCATCCTCCACAGTACACAATAAACTCTATCTACATCTGATTTCTCCCCACATGCTCTAGCCAGCACTCTATCATTACATTTTTATGAACCATGTCTCCAACACCAACTCCTGTTGCCATTGTTGGCATTGGATGCCGGCTTCCTGGCGGGGCCAACAACTTGGATAGCCTGTGGGAACTGCTTTCAGAAGGCCGAAGCGGCCGCACAAAGATTCCCAAAGACCGCTGGTCTGCTGAGGAGTGGTTTGACGCATATCCGGATGCCAAACAGTCTATGGTGACCAAGCACGGGTTCTTCCTTCAAGATGATATCTCACAGTTTGATGCAAAGTTCTTTGGTATTTCTAGCACAGAGGCACATGCCATGGATCCACAGCAGCGTTTATTTCTGATGATGGCCTACGAGGCACTGGAAGATGCTGCCATTCCCATCGAGTCATTAAGAGGGTCGAACACTGGTGTCTTTGCGAGTATATTCGAGAGGAGTTACGACAGGATGGGACACAAAGACCTTTCCACAATTAGCAATACACATATGAATGGGACAGGAGAAGCGAGTATGTCAATGAACTTCAGCCAACTGCACTGGCACTTACACAATCATAGTTCTTTCGAACAGGATCTCATATTGTTTTGACCTCAAAGGACCATGCATGACTATTGACACTGGCTGTGTAAGTTACTAATTCACGACTTAAAGAGCAACTGAACTGAAGATATACAGTCTGGGAGTTTGGTGGCACTCCACCAAGCGTGCCAAAGTCTCAGTCTGGGAGAGTCAGACCTCGCCTTAGTTGGTGGTTCACAACTTGTTATCCACCCTGATGCTCTGACCATTAGTGAGTTTGTTCTGATTTTATGCCTTTGGCTACGTAATCATGCTTTGAGGAGCACATAATAATTCCAATATAGTGAGCGGAATGGGTATGCTCAATCCCGACGGCCAGTCTTATGCCTTCGACTCGCGAGGAGAAGGATATGGACGCGGTGAAGGCGTAGCTATGATCGTTCTCAAGCGTCTGGACCGCGCACTTGAGGATGGGTAAGAAGACGCGATACTCTTTCACGGTCTTTATTTCACTAACAGATACTGCAGTGACCGAGTACATGCTGTCATTGCCAACTCTGGTGTAAACCAAGATGGCAAAACCTCTGGTCTCAACACCCCGAGTGGCGATGCCCAGGCTGCTTTGTGTTTGCGTGTTTACCGGGAAGCTAGGTTGAATCCTGCAGATACATCATTCGTCGAGGCTCATGGTACCGTAAGGAATCCCTCAATTAGCATAGACCTAGCTAACAAGATCCTGGATAGGGAACTCAAGTAGGCGACCGAGAAGAAATCGCCTCCATCTTCAAAGTCTTCTGTGAAAGTGCTGCAAGAACGGATGATCTTTACGTTGGCTCTATAAAACCGAATGTTGGACACCTTGAGGCAACTTCTGGTATCGCGGGTCTGCTCAAGTCTATCCTCGTGCTGAAGCATGGCCAAATCCCACCAAATCTGAATTTCGTCAAGCCCAAGCCATCGCTGAAGCTCTACGAGAGGAACATCAAAGTAAGCTTGATTTTCTGATCCAAGATACATTAGCTAATATCTTCCAGATTCCAACAGAACTTACGAAGCTCCCCATGCCGCGTAATGGGGGGCCAGTAAGGGTATCTCTGAACTCATTCGGCTACGGTGGAACCAATTGCCATGTTATTCTTGAGGCTCCCGACTCTAGGAGTCAAGTCAACGGATCCAATAGCATCAAATTAGATGATGTTAAACCAAACGGTTCTCAGACCAACGGCATCAAATCGAACGGTGTCCACTCAAACGGCATTGAGGCCAACGGTATCCAGTCGAGTGTTGTCGATACCAATTGTGTCACCTCCAACGGTATTAACTCCAATGGAACTAATACGAATGGTATGGACTCCAACGATATAAAATCCAACTCAAACGGGATCAATGATACAACGACGAACAAGACCGACCCAAACCAGACAGAAAATATCAAGAAAAAGCTACCAGATACAACACAGGATTTATCCGCTAAACCCTCCATTCAGGAGGGCCCAGCTTCCCACTCTCATCGATTATTCGTCATCAGTGCCTCAACCGAAAAAGCGTTACTATCGCGAACTGAAGACCTTAATCAATGGCTCAAATCCCACCAAACTTCAACAAAAGTTCTACACGACCTATCTTACACCCTCGCGGTCCACAGATCAGCTCTCCCTTACCGAAAAGCCATCGTCGCATCGACAACGGAAGAACTAGTGGCTGAACTCGAAGTACCCAGACCTTCAAGGAAAACGGTATCGCAGGCCCCCATCACATTCGTATTCTCCGGGCAGGGTGCGCAATGGCATGCCATGGGTCTCGAACTCATCCGGTCCTCGCACCTATTCCAACAGTCGATGGCGGAGATGGAGGATACACTGCGGCGGCAAGGCTGCCAGTGGAGCCTGGTGGAGGAGCTATCGAAATCTCCCAAGCAATCCCGAGTTGGCGAGGCGGAGATAGCGCAGCCTGCTACTACCGCTGTCCAGATTGCGCTTGTCGACTTACTTGAGAGTTTCTCCATGAGACCGAGTCGCGTGGTGGGGCACAGCTCGGGTGAGATAGCTGCTGCGTATGCGGCTGGTGCACTGAGTCGAGAGAGTGCTATTCTTCTGTAAGTAGTTAAGACTTCCATGTATGTCGTGGCTTCTTACTAATTTTTTAACAGAGCGTATCATCGCGGAGTATCTTCCCGCCAGGCCAAAAAGGTGGCCGATGTCCCTGGCTCTATGATGGCGGTTAGCCTCACTGAGACAGAAGCGATGCCGTATCTTAAGAAACTCACATGTGGAACAGCCGTTGTGGCGTGTGTGAACAGCCCGTCAAGTTTGACACTGTCGGGAGATGACTCCGCACTTGACGAGTTGAAAGAAGTACTTGACAAAGAAGATGTATTCGCCCGAAAGCTAAGAGTTGACACGGCCTATCACTCACACCACATGCAACGTGTTGCTGAAGAGTATCAAGAGACCATCAGCAGTATTGAATCTTCGTCAGTAAAGGATGGCGTAACCTTTTACTCCAGCGTTACCGGTACCATCAAGTCAACTGGCTTTGGCGCAGACTACTGGACATCAAATCTAGTGTCCCAAGTCAAGTTCAGCCAGGCATTAAAGATGGTACAAAACGACCAGCTGAAGCAAGACAACAACATGGACATCAGCTTGTTCGTTGAAATTGGACCACACTCGGCCCTCGCAGGCCCATCTCGCCAGGTTCTCACTCAGGAAGGAGCCGAAAAGTTCAAATTCGAGTACTTATCTGCTCTCCTGCGCAACGTGGACTCTGTACAGTCTACTCTAGCTCTCGTGGGCAGAGTATTCGAGCTCGGTCTCCAAATCGACATGTCTGCAGCCCTCACCATGACCAACAAGACAAAACCTGAGATCATCAGGGACCTGAAATCTTATCCCTGGGACCTTGCGCCATTCTGGCGCGAGTCTAGGCTGAGCAAAGCCCATCGCTTCCGCCAATTCCCACATCATGACCTTCTTGGCTTGTTTGACCCAGCTAGCACGATTCACGAGCCGCGCTGGAGATATTTCATCAACATGGACACTCTGCCTTGGCTCAGAGGCCATGTAGTTGAAGGATTCACGATCTACCCAGGTGCAGGCTACCTAACAATGGCCATGGAGGGGATAAAGCAGCTTGTGCAGATGAGAGGCATCCAGCATCCCATCACTAAGTTTGTCCTCCGTAACGTCGCAATCTCAAAGGCCATCATGCTTAGCGAGCCGGATGATACAAATTCTGGTGAGGTGGAAGTTCAACTGAGCATGTCTTCTGCAAACCAGTACGAAGGCAGCCGTTGGCAATCGTTTAACATCAGGTCCTATAATACAGACGGATCATGGAGTGAGCATTGTGCCGGTGAGATCACAGTTGAACACGACACGAGCGAGCCCGACGAGGTTGAGGGGACTAGAGAACAAGAATTGCGCCAAGAGGAAGCTACGCAATTCATGGCAACGTCTCAGCAAAGCTGTGACAGGGAAATGAGCAAGTCTGAATTCTACGACTTTGCAAGACTGACAGGCAATGAATTTAGTGGCGCTTTTACCCCAATCACTTGGGCTAGATATGGCAAGAACAGGGGCGTATTCGAGATATGCACTCCAGATATTGCTCCTTTGATGCCATACCGGTCCTTCAGGGATCATGTAATCCATCCAACTACTCTGGACGCTACTCAACAGATCAACGCGGTCTTATTCAAGAAGTTCGTCACCAATGCCGCGTGTGTTCCAACCAGTATTCCGTTGTTAGAGATAAGCGCCAATCTATCGACTACGGCCGGGAACAGTCTCACTGGAGCCATGCAGATTGAAGCTGACGGTCCCAAAGCATCCAAATGTGAAGGTTGGGTGCTCCAGAAGGATGTAAATGGCCATCTCAGCCCTGTGATCCGTCTTCTTGTCAACTTGAGAGCCATTGGCGAGACTCGCGAGGAAGAGTACCGGCCTTTCATCCAGGATGCGGTAAATCGACTCGATTGGAACCTTGATCCCGATTTCATGACGAGAAACTCATTCCTACAGGTGCTCTCATCTTCGCTGGGTCTAGAGGAAAACATGACTCATGGGTTCAACGGGACCAAAATTTCTGTCGAAGAGTCTCGGAACGAGTACCTCGTTACAGATCAGGCATCTTCTATATGGTTTAGAGAAGCAGTGCGCTATGTTGAGGATACCAAAGATGGTATGGTAACGCCTGGGCAAGTCAAATTCTTTGGATGGATGAAGAGGTGGTTAGCCTCTGACTATTGCGGTCAGATCATGTCGGGCCTGACCGCGGAAGAAGAGACGAGGATTCTGCAAAGTGTTGAATCATCCGAGACATCAGCCCAGTTGCAACTCCTAGCTCGCGTTGGCAAAGCCCTCCCTCGCATCGTGACTGGCGAAACCCAGTCTTTAGATGTCATGCTAGAAGGCAATCTCCTCTCAAGGTACTACGAAAGTGGTATTCTTGTCGGCCCCTACGAAGCAGCAGTAGCGTATATGAAGGTTCTCACCTTCAAGAACCCGCGCCTTCGTGTCCTCGAGATCGGTGCTGGAACAGGAGGTTGTACCAAATGGCTCTTCCGCGGGCTCTCTGGCCATAACGGCGCTGCGGGCCTTCCCGTCAAAGAGTACACTTTTACCGATGTCTCCAGCGGATTCTTCGAGGATGCGCGAGAGACATTTGCCGAATGGGAGGACATGATGCAATTTAGGGTGCTGGATGCAGATCAAGACCCTATCGAGCAAGGCTTCGAGCCTGAGTCCTACGACGTGGTGGTGGCGGCCAACGTACTACACGCGACGAGGAGGATAGACGTGACGACGAGCCGCGTACGTAAGCTGCTCAAACCTGGAGGTAGCCTACTCCTTCTTGAAATCGAGCCCCGAGGCGCGGCCTTTGGTCTCGTGGCCGGCCCGCTTACTGGATGGTGGGCGCCTGAGGACGGTCGAGTGGACAGTCCACTACTATTCCGCAACCAGTGGCAAGAGGTTCTGGCGAGGAACGGCTTTGGAGGAATCTACCTAGCCTGGGAATGCATGATGGTGGCTAAAGCCGAGCCCGTACGGAGTGACGTCAACGGAACACAGTCCAGTCATGATGTCGTCCTAATCGGAGACGAAGTTGGCGATCTCATGGAACAAACAGCGGCGGAATTTTCTTCTCGCGATGCCAATGTCACAACTACCTCCTGGGAGCAAGCTGAAGCCCGGGAAGACAGCCTCTATGTCGTCTTGGATAATGCAGAGAAAAGGACCCTTCTCGACCCCAAGCCCCAGCTTTTCGAGGCCATCATAGCGCTGCTCAGCGCAAAATGCCAGGTTTTGTGGGTGCTCCTCCATGACAAGACCGACCCCACGGCCTCCGCTTACAAAGGTTTGATCAATGCCTTTATCCGTGTGTTGCGGCGGGAGAGTGGGCACACTGGTCTCGTGACCCTTGACATACGCCACCCCCTGGATGTGGAGAAGACGGCCCGGGCCGTGACTGACGTCGCATGTCGACGCTTCTGGCCAGCCACAGGAGATCTCCGCTCTCTAGAGCCTGAATTCGCATACGAGGATGGCCGTGTGCTAATCCCCCGTGTTAGGCCAGATGTCGAATTCTTGAAGTGGGTGCGGCATGGGACAGAGCGGGGAGCAACCAACGACACAGAGACGGCTCCTTCACCTTACCAACAGAGTGACCGAGTGCTTAAGGCCGAGGTCGCAACACCAGGACTACTGGGTTCGTTACGCTTCATCGATCATGACCTCTCTTCTCCTCTGGATTCATGCCAGATTGAGGTCAAGGCTGAGGCACATGGCGTAAACTACAAAGACGTTATCCTCGCACTTGGCCAGAAGGGTCCCGGCATCCATATGGCAGGCGAGTTTGCAGGCCTGGTGACAGCTGTGGGTGAAGACATGCGAGACTTGTACCAGGTCGGCGATCGAGTCATGGGTTTTGGTGCGCAACCGTTCAGTAACCTGTTGCGTGTCCATGGGTATCTTGCCCGTAGGACGCCAAGCAGTATGCCTGCTACGATCGCAGCATCCATTCCTCACGCATTTGTAACCGCTTTCCACTGTGTGGTACAAATTGGCCGCCTTGAGCAAGGCCAGTCAATCCTGATCCAAGCTGCGTCTGGAGGCGTTGGACAAGCGGCCATCCAGCTCGCCCAGCATATCGGCGCCGTCATCTATTGCACAGTCAGCACGGCTGCGAAACGAAAGCTGATTGTAGATGAGTACGCCATCCCAGAAGCTAATGTCTTCTCCAGTAAGACAGGTTCACTCAAGCAAGGCATTATGCGACAAACCAATGGTCAAGGAGTAGATCTGGTGCTCAATTCGTCGACAGGAGAGATGCTAAGAGACAGCCTTGACTGCGTCAAGACCATGGGAACGTTCATCGAGTTGGGAAAGAGCGAGATACAACAAGGATCACAGCTGAGTATGGCTTCATTCAACAGGTCGATAACCTTTACAGCATTTGATCTGGAAACACTGTCCGTTCGAGACCCCAGACGCGTCCACCGCACATTGGGAGACGTCATCAGCCTCATTGAGTCAAAGAAAGTGCATCCCGTATGCCCTCTTACAACATACCCAATCGATCAGATCGAGGATGCGTTCCGCTTTGTAGGCTCGCGGAAGCACACTGGTAAAATTGTCCTACAGGTCGAGCCTGATTCCATGGTAAAGTGCCTCCCCGCGAAGCCCTCGCCGTTGCGGATAGGTAAGGACGGCACCTACATCGCAGCCGGTGGTCTTGGTGATCTGACCTCGCGGATTTGTGTATTCCTGGCCTCTCGAGGTGCTGGACATATCGTGGCTTTGTCTAGACGTGCCATCGATGATGCGACCAAACAGAAATACGCGTCTGTCATCGAAGAACATGGGTGCAAACTTCATATTCTCCAGTGCGATATCACAGATGAGGAGAGCATGAAACGTACTGCATCCTACTGCTCCAATTTGCCTCCTGTCAGGGGGGTAGTGAATGGTACATTAGTGCTCAGGGTAAGCCGTGAATTACTTGAGTATAACATAGGCTTCTGACACTTCAAATTAGGACCGAACATTTGCTCAGATGACTGTGGAAGAGTGGAAGGTAGCACTCCAGCCTAAAGTCACTGGGACCCTTAACCTTGACAAGTTCTTTGCTTCTCCCGATTTGGCCTTCTTCATGACACTCTCCTCGGTTGTCGCCGTAGTTGGTAAAGCTGGCCAGTCCAACTACGCAGCCGGAAATGGTTTCCAAGACGCATTCGCTCGTGCACACGCTGGTCACCCTCATACGCACTACATCTCGGTCAACGTCGGTGCTGTGTCTGTGGATGCTCATGGCGCCCTCAAAGAGGCACAGCAAGGTGACATGTCCATCGGTGGCATGCGAGCCTCTCTCCGGCAAAACAGTGTCATGGACATTTCTTTTGAAGAGTTTCTTGCTAATATCGAATACGCAATCGATAACCGCATTCGAGACGGCGACATACACCAAACAATTCAGGGTGTCACGCACCAGTCTATGGTGGACGCTAACGATGAGCTTCTTCTTGAGAACCCCCTCTTCAGCCAGCTGTCTCATTCCCAGAAGAAGAAATCTGCAGGCGACATGCAGAACGAAAAGGTGGATGTGAAGAAAGCTTTGAGTAGCGTGAAGACGATGGAGGAAGCTGAGCAGCTCATTCGAGACGCCACGCTAGCTAAGTTCGCCGTCTTCCTTGACCGGCCGATCGATGACATCAGAGTCGATCAGTCTCTGGCCACTATTGGTCTTGACTCTCTAGTCAGCATCGAGTTGAAGAATTGGATGGTACGCACTTTCCAAGTCAACCTCCAGACATCGGAGCTGGGCGGTGCTGGCAGCATTATGGCGCTGGCAGCAACGGTCGCCTCGCGGTCGAAACTGATCCCAGACAACATCCACCCATCACGGCCACAAGAGGCTACCGCTTTGGTAGAAAAGGAGAAGGTTTCGAAAGATGACCATTCTGAAAACAACCATGACTTCTGGTGTTGCAGAGCGAGCAAGGAGCTCCCTAGGCACCCGCTTGTCGACCTTGACGAGGCAGTCAACGACCTTCTCAACAGTATCAGTCACTTCTCCCACACTCGGGAGGAATATGCGGAGCTCAATCGCAAAGCAAAAGCCCTTGCTGCGCCGGGAAGTCTCGGCCGCAAGCTGTACAATCAGCTGCGCGCAAAGGCCGATGATCCAAGTGTGGAGAGCTGGATTGCTGGTCCCCTGCTCAAGGCATTATACCTCAAGCGAAGATATCCTATTGTGCCGTTTAGCAGTTTCCTTGGAACACACTTCGACAGCGCTGTCGCGCACTCACAGGCCCAGCGAGCGGCTGCGCTTACCAGAACCCTGTCCGAGTTCAAGCGTGATCTGGATTTGAAGAAACTGAAACCTGATTTCCTGGGTGAGAGGCCGAATTGCGGCCATTCTCTGACTTGGCTTTTCAATGCCTTAAGAGAGGCCAACGTGGGCTGTGACAAGATGATGAGGTATCCTGGAAAAGAGCACGTTGCTGTATTGCGGAGGGGACATTTGTTCAAAGTATCACTGAAAGAAGGAGATGATATCGTCTCATATCAGAAGCTCAAGACTACATACCAGAGCATCATTGACCTCAACCTGGAGGAAAAGATGTGGACGGGTATTCTGACGACAGATAATCGCGACAGTTGGGGCACTGTAGGTCTTCCTCTGCCTTTGTACCGCTTGTTATACTGACCATGTCCCAGATCCGACAGAAGCTCATGTCAATGGACCCAAGAAACGCGGAATATATCAAGGTATTGGAGGAATCCGTCTTTGTGATGTGTCTAGATGACAATAGCCCTACCACTCGTGAGGAACGCGTCCGTTTCGGATACCTTGGAGACTCCTTTAACCGTTGGCATGACAAGACTCTGCAACTTGTCGTCACCGGCAATGGCTCCTCTGGTACCATCTTCGAGCATTCCATGATCGACTTTATGACCACCTCGCAGATCTCGCAAAGGTTGCAAGGCGCGATTGATACCCTGGACCCAGAAAACGACAACCTCGAACAAAACGGTGAAGCTGCCGCTGATCCCGCCAGCCTGGAGGAAATCCCATTGGCGTCGACGACCAAGGAGATTGAAGCCCATATGATGATGTTGCGCGACAAGTACGCAGCAACTACCGGAGTGAAGATTTATACTCCCCACCTCGTCCCGTCCTTCGGAAAATCCCTCCTTCTCACCAACTCGGCGCCCATCAAAGCCACTGTAGACTTGACAATCCAACTTGCCAGCCGCATATACTTTGGCTACCTCCCCGCGAGTTGGGAAACAGTCTCAACAGCGCACTACCACCTCGGCCGCCCCGAAATCGTCCAAGTAGTTCTCAAATCCGTCGTAGAATTCTGCGACGCAGCGCTCGACACGGCAGTCCCACGGTCCGAGGCACGCGCAAAGCTACTCAAAGCAGCGCGCGAATGCAATGCACAAATTGTCAAGGGCGGCGAGGGCCGTAACTACTTCCGGCTCATGGATGTGCTGGAGGTCCTGAGCCACGAGGCGCAAGACGATGGTAGTAGTGAAGGCCAGATCGTACCCGAGTTGTTCTCCGATCCGGTGTGGAAGAGGAGTTACCCGCGGTTGATCATGCAGACTATGATTGAGAAGAAGTTGGCACAGGATCCAGGGTATACGATGCAAGATCCAGAGAATGTTTGGATGAACTACACTGTGAATGAGGATTCGTAAGTTTATCCCTCACAAATCCGCACTCCCACTCGCGGAGTGGGAAATAGACATGGTGTTAACACATATGCAGGCTAGAGGTGTGTTTCGTCGCTCCGCGAACGGGCGCTGAGCGATTCAAAGCCGCACTCGATCGAGCCGCGGATATTATCAAGACTATTGTCCAGCATAAGGAGACGCGGGAGCTTCCAAACTGATATCTTCAGCATTCAGGACGGAGGAAGTGGTGTCAGACTTGTGAGTAGGTGTCATGGTAGCGCTGCAGGGCGTGGGCATGTGGACGGATCCATCGGATGGCGAGATATCTCTCAAAGTCTTTTATCAAATTAATCGACTTTCGGTTCGGTTTGTAGATGATGATTAGCATATTTCTGAAGTTTTTCTTTGGCGCATTGAATCCAAATTGTTTCGTTCCCTAGTGGATGGCCTAGACGAAGGGCCGCCATACTTTCTGTAACGGCACTGCCACAGGTATCAATATAGAGGTTGATTGGCTCACTTTCAACTAGAGCAAGCCAATCATCCCCATACTTAAGGCGGGACGCTAGTTCTATTATTCCAATAGCTTTTCATGGCAAGATGTCCCACAGCGTCCCAATGTCACCAGCTCGGCATTCCAAGCCATGCGACCGTCGATCTCACTATATTTTCTTTTCGATAGCCATTAGCCGTTAGAACGCGTGGAGGCAGCTGAGAATGGCTTGACTGCTCGTGTGAAAGCGTTTGTGACACGGCAGATTGGCACGACCGCGAGCGAGAACGACCATGCATTGGCAAGTCTGGCCACGCAAGGGAAAATCCAGTGTGAAGTGCCTGCGGCCTGCGGAGATAATGCCTGCGGAAACATGGGGAACCGTAGGCCAAAGCGACATATACCAGTATCCGCATTAGGTAGCTTGGTACGCTATAACGTGACTGCCATGGGCTGGGCAGCTTGATGGGTACCGACCCTCCCACTCTTCACTCTCCCGCGCATGAACAATGATACCAAACACTTATCCGTGGCAAATCATCACCAAATCCGTTGGATCTCTTTTCACGGGCCGCATGCACGTTTTCCCCACCGAGGTACAGCATGCAACCCATGATTATCGTGTCCGATTTGCGTGGTCTGTGTAACTCACTGGCCCTGAACGAAGCTGAACGAACCGCCGTGCGACAAGCCCCCAGCCAATGCCTATGCTAGTTCTGTAACACAAACCTCAAGGGCGAAAATTCATTGAAAATGGACTGAGGTCATGGAGGAAACGTATTGGCGCCGGATGGGCATCATAGAAATGTGTACGGTCGTATTGTTGGGGCCCGTGTTCTTTCTTCCGCGCTCTCGATTGTCAAAGAATCATTATCTTGCGCTTTGATTCATTCATGAGCGCATGCATGGTTTGCATGTTTACTTTTTGTAGGCGATCTGGACCTGTCAGCAAAGCTGTACTTTGACAGCAATTCCAGTATGAGGCTTCCGCCTTACGAAGTCCTAATTTCTTGGCCAAGGCCAAATTATGACAGTCCTGTCACGCGAGGCAATGCGCTCGTCTTGGTGAACTCGATATTTCTGGGCCTTGTGGTTATAACGGTGGGCTTGCGCTTGTACACTCGCCTGGCCATTAAGAGATGGTTTGGCCTGGATGATGTTTTCATACTACTGGCTCTAGTACGTTTTATTTCGTGTGAGTATCAGACTGGGTAAGGCTGATAATGTATAGCTATTCACGATTGGCCTTACGGCAGTAGTCCTCCTGGCAAATCGAGATTATGGTTGGGATCGTGTAAGTGAAGGCTTTTTCGAGTGATGGATATATTCTCGAGCACTGGCTTACTCTTTTTATCAGCATGTCTATGACATTCCCTTCGACGCTCTCGTTCCTACATCAAAGATTGCTATGAGCGCCAAGGTGGTCTTTACCGCCGCTGCCACGTTCACTCGATTATCTTTACATTGTTTCTACTACAGGCTCGTAGCGGATTCAGGCAAAACTTGTAAGAGATATTTGCCGGCGCTGCCCTCCCATGTTACTTCAGCCAACAAATCTTGTCTCAGGGTTCAAGGGGCTGATTCATGCCAATGTGATATACACTGTTGGAATCTTTTTCTCATTCACTTTTCTCTCCATTTTCTGTAAGTCTGTTTGGATGGAGTCCTATCACCATATACTGACTATATATGCCAACAGTGTGTGATCCTGTGAAGAATTATTGGGCTCTGGGGGCACCGGTTGATAGCTGCATGGATGAGGGATATGTTACACTTGTGTGTGGCATCATCAACTGTGTCGCGGACTTTGCGACGACTATTACTCCGATGCCCCTCGTTATAGGAGTACGTTTACTGACCTACAGTTCATTTCGATCATAGCTGACCAGAATCAGCTCCATATGCCACGTCGTCAGCGAATCGCTGTGGCCCTCCTGTTCGGATTAGGTATGATCGTCACTGTAGCCGGTATAGTCCGCACATGGTACATATATATTTCTCTCGTCAAGTCATCTGATCAGACATGGTACGCGTATCCATTATGGATAGCTGCCGCTGTCGAAATCGATCTGGGAGTTGTGAGTTGAACTAAACTTTCTCTTCTCGCCCCGCTAAATTATGCAGATATGTGCATCCGCGCCCGTTCTCCGTCCTCTCCTATCCAAAATACCTTTCAGTCTTTCTGGGACTTTTTCTCGAGGAATATCTCTTGGACGATCCACTGGCTCGACAACAAGTGCACAAACTCACCGTCGATCAGGGAACGCGCCAATTGCGTCCGCAACGTCTTCAACTGGACAGTCCGAGACGCTCCACAGCATCCCAGAACTCGGCAGTGACAAGGTAAAGAGGTATGAGCTCAGACATTGGGATGACGAGGAAAGGCGTATCATGGCCACTGAAGAGGTCACACGCGGGAGCCAGGAAGCCATATTGGATAATGAAGTCGCAAACGACGAGCAACCAAAACAAGGAATGGCACGTCTTTGGCAGAAGATCAAAAAGAGCGAATCAAATCCTGATATGAAAGACGACATGACTATCACGCGGACATCGGAGGTCGAACTGCAAAGTGAGCCAGCGATCACTCAGCAACTTAGAGGTTATCCACAAGTGCGATCGCAGCAAAAATTACAGGGTCCGGCTTCAGCACCGCCGATGGTGCCTTTCAGGTCAGAGCACCCCTGAATGCACAGCAGAGTATCGGCGAATGCATATGCACATGCATTGCGATAAATCTCGCATGGATACGACGTACTACTTGCTTCCCTCGGCGTTCATGCATAAACACTTCTTGCGATCTGAAATCACACTCTATCCCAACACTTCACTCGTGCATTAACGTCCATATTCAACCTGGCGTGGCTCACCTTTACAAATCATTTTCCGTCCGGCCAGCCCCTTTTGTCTAAAGACTCAACACATCAAGTAAGCTACATTTCCACGAAAAGGACCACCCCGTACTGCAGCAAGGCTCAGTTTTGCACAAACGTCACGGGCAATACGAACCCGGGACCAAACACTGAAGGCGAACTCATCTAGGAAAAGACAAGGCCTCGTGTACGTCAACGAAAGAATCACAGCAATTCCAAGGCGTATACTTGGTCAACGTCTTCGCCAGCAGACAACACAACACAAGGTCAAACATATTCCGCCAGCTTCTCATCCTCAGGGTACGCGGAGATAGAAGTATACCAGCTACCGCGCCTCACCTCTTTTCTTTCCAGTCACGCGAGCTTCTGCACTTGAAGGATCGTATCTGGCTATGATACATCGAATTTGAACAGGGACATATAGAGAGACAAGGGCACTCAAGATTCCACGTCTTGCGCCCACACGGCAGGAGAAGCGGACACGCTTGTTCCAGTATGTGTAATACAGCGAGTAAATGCGACTGCGAAATATGCCCAAGGAAAACCAAATACATCAAATAAATGCCTTGATGGCTATCCACCATGGGTATTCTAAGCTTGTTGGACTTGGGGTCGGCGGTAGCGCATGCGCTTGATATATTGCCCATCCTCGAGATTGCGTCTTGGAAAGTCCAACTTCTTTGTAGGATAACGATATCAATACAAATAAATCGTACTAAATCCCATTATTCCAGTGCCTACAGGGCGGTTCTTTAATGAAAATGTTAAATAGCATATCATACGCTTATAAAATACCCTTCAACCATGTCTCTATTACCTAACAAAGTCTTACAACAGTACGCCTTGTCACGCGTGATGCTAGATACCATAGCATAGCACTCCTGGTGACAGTCTTCCGATGCGCCCAATACCTTGGGTACACAACCCCATTCCTATCCCCATCCCCAACTCCAGCAGCCCCTCACCGCTACCGACAAAACTCCAAAAAGCGCCCCAAACCCAGTCATATCGCCGGTTATAATATGCCACCCAACTCTATCTCTTGCAGCATGCAACTCTCCATGCTCAATACTGATAAAGTATGTGATTTGAAATATTCATTGCTCGTAATTGAAGGCGTCCTTTTGGTTTGTCCAAATGACAAACTCGGATATGCTGGGGCAGAGAGGTGGGATTGAGGATTGTGAATTTGGGTACTAGGGTTGATGGGGAGTCGATGGCGGGGTGGTTGATGGTTGGAAGGAAATAATGCATTTGGCTCAGTGGACATTGTTATTGCGCAGACTACTTCTTTAAGTGAGAGACAGGATTTCGGTTGATGATTCAGAAACATAAGTCCCTCATGTTGCAACAAGGATGGATCTGTGAGTGCGAGAAGTTGTTACTGGATATTCATATGGGATCAAATTTCAGACGTCGTCTTAACCATTATCACATTTACATGGCGACTACAACAATAACTACCAGACTCAACTGCACCACGAGGTTTGACGGTTGGGGAGTTGCAGTAGGCATATTACTGACACTGAACGGCACGTGGACTTGGAATCGGGACTCGTTATGATGTTTATTGGCGTGAGGGGTTACTCATAGCCATAATGGCACACCACATGTCTGCACCATGATATCGCCGCTTTCAATGCTTATGAAAGTGCAGAAGAGAGAATAAGAGACCGAGAAACCACGCCGTTGACCATCCGTATCCCATTTTGCCGCATTGCACATCAAGCCACCCTGCTCTCGCTTAAATCGTTGTCTCGTACGGTACAGGTGTGATGTTCTCGGGCTTATTGTCCGCCAAGCTGATGGTCCTCGCGCCACGGGGTTGGACGGGAATGCGCTTGAGCTGCTGGGGCTCGCCAGTCTCCTTTGCCTTTTGTTGCGCGGCGAAGTTGGCCTTGACGCGCTTGAGGAAGTCCTCTCGCGAGCGCGAGTGGCGGACGTGCTCGATGCGGACGTTGATGCGCTTCTCCATGTAGCGGTTTCCGACCTGCTTCTGGAGAATGACACCGACAGCAGACTTGGTGACGTTGTAGACGATACCAGTCTTGCCGTGGTAGACCTTGTAGGGCATACCCTTTTGGACGGCACCTGAAGTGGGGATTAGTGACTGCGCTGTATGTCTCTCCAATGGTCAGGGCGTGTGGAAGTGCGTACCGTTGGCTACGACATCGACGATATCACCAACCTTGTAGGTCTTGAGGTAGGTGGAGAGCGGGATCATTCCCTTCTTCTTGAAATCCCTCGAGAATCTGCCATGGCGTTAGTCATCTCTCCCTGTCTCTCGTTTTCTTCGGCGAGCTATTTTCGCAGAGGCAAAGGGAAAACATACGCATAGCGCGTACCCGCGCGGAGACCGGCTGCGTGACCCATTGTGTGTGTTGTTGGGAGTTGGTGATCGTGTCGTGAAGTTCGGCGTGATGTTCAATTTGCTGCTGTGTCGGAAGGTGCGAATTCCCTAAGCGAGGTGGTGGCCCGTGCATGCCACTTGCGCCCACCGACGAAATTGTGCCCCAACTTTGACGAACACCACGACTCTTCCCTTCCTCCATCGACAACCACAATGGCGCCCCGTTCCTACTCCAAGACGTACAGCGTCCCCCGTCGTCCCTTCGAGTCCGCTCGTCTGTATGTATCCCACGGCCACTGAGCCAGAGCTTGCTCTGCTTATGTCTGGGAACTCCGGTTAATGTTGGTAGGGATACCGAGCTCAAGCTCGTCGGCGAGTATGGTCTGCGCAACAAGCGCGAGGTCTGGCGTGTCCAGTTGACCCTCTCCAAGATTCGTCGTGCGGCCCGGTAAGCCTCTCCTTTGCAATTGCGCGTCCAGTGAGAGGATTCATAAATGCTCTCTTTTAACCTGGTACACGTCCGCTAACACAAGTGGTACAGTTCGCTCTTGACCCTTGACGAGAAGGACCCCAAGCGCCTCTTCGAGGGTAACGCCTTGATTCGCCGTCTCGTCCGTGTCGGTGTCCTCGACGAGTCCCGCATGAAGCTCGATTACGTCTTGGCCCTGAAGATTGAGGACTTCTTGGAGCGCCGTCTTCAGACTTGCGTCTACAAGCTCGGTCTCGCCAAGTCCATCCACCACGCTCGTGTTCTCATCCGCCAGCGCCACATCCGGTATGCTCCAGTTTCTCATTCTCAAAAGGTGTGTCACTAACAACGGAACAGTGTCGGAAAGCAGATCGTCAACGTTCCATCCTTCATGGTCCGCCTCGACTCCCAGAAGCACATTGACTTTGCTCTGACTTCGCCATTTGGTGGCGGCCGCCCTGGTCGTGTCAGGAGGAAGAAGGCCAAGGCCGCCGAAAAGGGTGGTGACGACGATGCCGCCGAGGAGGACGAGGAGTAGATTATGCCCCAAAAGGAATGAATCATGGATGATCGGCGTTGGGCATGACGGGATGGAGCTTTCGAGCATTTGCTCTGTCTTCAAATTAAGGATATCCTGCCGGGTTACGGCTGGTGGACGATCTACATACACTTCATGTAGTTTCTGTCTGCCCAAAATCTTCAATTGCCATCATCTGCTCTCTGCAGTCTATTCCAAGTGACCTCATCCATGTTGCCCATGTCTCTAATTTCGATATTCGTGCGGTCGGTCATGGCTTGTTGAAGCAGCTTCATCCTTTTCTTAGCGTACTTCATGAGATGATTCAGCCGTGAACTGCTACCTTGCTTGCGGATTCTAACAGTTGGCAGTCTTGAGACATCACAGCAGGTAAAGATAGGAGTTTGGCAATGAGTAGTAGCCTTATCATACATGTGCTGTATCAATAAGCTCCAAGCTCCCTCTCTACTCATTTCGCGGCAGCATCTTGTTCGATTTCCAACGGCACCTCCTTGACCTTCTTCACCACCTTTGCCGGCTGCCCCAAGGCAACACTAAACTCTGGAATATCCCTCGAGACCACACTCATTGCCCCAATTGTGCACCCCCTCCCAATCGTCACGCCCGGCAAAATCACCACATTCCCGCCAATCCAGCAGTCATCCCCAATCGTCACCGGTCGCCCATACTCGATATTATCCCTGCGACTCTGCACCTCGGCCTCATGCGTGGCAGCAAAGATGCTCACATTGGGCCCAAACATGCAGCGATCACCAATCGTCACGAGACTGCAGTCTAGAATCGTGAGGTTGAAGTTTGAGTAGAAGCGTTTGCCGAGGGAGATGTTGCAGCCGTAGTCGATGTTGAAGGGGGGTTCGATGATGGTTTCGTCGTCGGCGATGTGGCCGAGTGTTGTTTTCAGGGCGGCGAGTCGGGTTTGGGTGAGGGTGTCGAAGGCGGTGGTGGGGTCTTGGGAGGCGGAGCTGGGGAATTCGGTGTTGTATTTATGGGCGAAGGCGCGGGCGCGGTAGCGGGCGCCATTTAGTTCGGGGGAGAAGGCGTTGTAGCTAGGGTTTGGTGGTTAGGTTTAGGAGGGATTGAATCTAGGGGGCAGATTCGGTGGTTGTGGGGATGATGGATAATCGGATTGGCAGGGCAGATACATGGTGGTATATGAATTAATGGCGGCTGAGCTTGATAGAGATGTACATACAGCATGCCAGATATCATTTTCTCTACAGTTGGACGTTATTATGTTGGCTCCATTCACATTTCCCACACTGCCTGTACTTACCATACTCCTCACACCAAGGCACATGGTTCAACTTTCTCGCCTTTTCCAACTCTTGCTCATTCTTGGTCGTGGCTGCCATCCTGGAATTGCTATGAACCTATTTCTTAGAGTTTGATTGGAGGCTTCCTGTTAATGTCTGATATCTCGATGGTCTGCTCACACGTTTAAGTAGCGAGGGGGCAATTGCTTAGTGGGGTAACTAAGTTCTGGTCTTTGGTATCGATTTGGCAATACTTCGCATTCTCTAGCGTAACTCGCACTTTTTGGCCAAGCCCTGTAAGAGTACCACACTGCAGTTACAGATGTTGCATTTCCTATCGCGCTCGCAGACGAAAATGCTCACGCTGCACGCCGGATCGCATCGACTTCTGACCAGTCACAGTACATTGGTGCCTGAGATGAAGTATTTGGTACTTGGAAACGGTGTTGCACGAAAACACATTGTTTTCTCCAAGTGCAAAGCAGATAATATGCCGTTGATATGAGGCGTAGCAATCGACAGTTGCTCCAGGGCCGTGTGAATGGTCTCGTGACCCCATTCACGGCTGGCGGAGAGTTGGTGATGTCGGTGAGGAACGAGATGGCAATTAGCGAAGGCCTAGCGTCTTGGCAGTCCCCATCGCCCACTGAGGGTTTTCGAACGCCTCACCCCCTCTCACTTTGCAAGCCGTCCAGCGTTCACGACTCTCGCGCCCAATCCATCGACTTCAAGCAACCATTAACACCCAAAAAACTCGACACTTCCTAAGCCGTCAATATGGTACGTCTGAACCTTTGCGGGCCCCCCAGAGCGGCACAGCAAACTTTCCCAAGCGGGCACACGAGTTGTGTCGAACTTCGCCACGCAGGCCGACAATTCGCAATTTTGCTGCTGTCTCGCCTGCGCAAATATCGATTTCCAATGGATATTGAAAGCTAACACCCGTCTCAGGTTCTCGCAGTTGACCTTCTCAACCCTACCCCGGCCGCGTACGCTCCCACTTCCCCGAATTTCGATAGCGACATGCGACTAACAGGCGTCCAGTGAGGCCCGCAAGCACAAGCTCAAGACCCTCGTGCCCGCTCCCCGCTCATTCTTCATGGATGTCAAGTGCCCCGGGTGCTTCACCATCACCACTGTCTTCTCGCACGCAAACACAGTCGTTGTCTGCCAGGGCTGCTCGCAGGTCCTGTAAGTCAATAGTTGTTCTGGGGATAGCGATGAGGCATGGCTAATACAATACACAGGTGCCAGCCCACTGGTGGCAAGGCGCGGTTGACCGAGGGTTGCTCTTTCCGAAGGAAGTAGATGTTTGGCCGTGAAGACAGCGTAGGGTTGGATGGGTTATGATGACGACTAGCATGGTGCAGGGACGTAGATCTCATTGGCACCGATCGACTCGACCGCAGGATAGAAGAGGGATCTTTCGACTCGAGTCAATGCAAAAGTCAAAAACGGGAGTTCCGGATATCTAGCGCTGATGGACCACCCTTTCCTCGAATCTATTTCCTTTTGTTTGGCATGTCCTTCGATATGTGTACATGCATGTGGGAGGCGAGATGGCATTTCAGAGCCTTTGGATCAGTCGTCCGAGGTGAGGACCGGTTTGCAATCGAGGATACCTGCGCATGCTAGCGGTCCTTTGTAAATCAAAACTGTCAATTCCTCATGATTGCCCGAGTGCCGCCGCGATGAACATTTCGGGACTGACATTCCCTCCTCGCACAAGTTGTAATTGGCACCCCAAAGATTCGCCTTGGGATATTTCTCTGGCCAGTCTTGTCAGTGCAAACAATCGTATGACTGCTCTTTTGGTCTACAATGATCACAACGCCCCAATGGTGAAGAGCCATAATTCAATCTTCAACAGCACTCCCAGCCTTACCCAGAACAGCAGGACGGCAAGCTCTCAGCCTTGGCTCAAATTTCTTCCCCGCGAAGTGGAGCATCGTGTTCGAGACCCGATACCCTGTTTGGTGGCACTTTCTTCACCACATGACGAACAGAAGCGCACTTTAGCCGATGTCCGATAACCAGCTCCCAAGATACAAGTAGATAACACCAAACGTCCTTGGCCCATTTTGAAAGCGTCTTATATATAAGCATCTACCTTGCCCTTGACCACAACCTCTGAATCAATTGCGCCAACACGTCGCATCAAACAGCCACATCACGCGACGTCATCGCCACACTCTACTACCCACCTTCTAACCAGGCGTGTGCGTGGCTCAATTCGGTCAAAAGTAAACACTTGCTAGTCCCACCCCCCGCTGTGCGCGCGCACGACTCATCAACATTTATAGCCTACGTAATCATGGCTACTACTACCACATCAGACAATCCCCATCCCATTCCCCTGACCGAATCCGACGTCTTGGTCCGCGGCTTTCTCGCTGCAAACCCGGATCTGGACGCCTCTCTCGGGCCGGTGCAAGTCATGACGGACCGGTATACGAATGAGGAGTGGGAGGCGCAAATTCAAGAGACGGTGCGCGCTGTGCTGGCCGAGGTGGAGAGTGGGAGCAGGGCGAAGAAGGTGTATCCTGGGCCGCGGATGAGGGATGGAGAGAAGGCGTTGAGGGAGTTGAGTAAGACGATTGATCATACGGCGTTGAAATTGGATGCGACGAGTACGGTGATTGATGGGCTGTGTAGTGAGGCGAGGACGGAGGGCTTCAAGGTATGATGTGTATTTCCTCGTCTTGCTCGTATGATGCGAGCGAGATTTGCAACCGTCAACATACCAAACAAATTCGACGAACGACCCACTAACACTGCAAACAAACAGTCTGTCTGCGTCCGCCTCCCCTGGGTCCAACGCTGCGTGTCCAATCTCAAAGGCTCAGACGTCCTCGTCGCCTGCGTCGTCGGCTTCCACGAAGGGACCCAGGACACACTGCACAAACTCCGAGAAGCGCGGGCAGCCGTCCAAGCCGGCGCAACCGAACTAGACATTGTCCTCAACCACACCTTACTCACCCAACACACCTCCCCACCTCCTTCCTCTTCCTCTTCTTCCGCCTCCTCCAACACGCACTCCCATCGCTCCAAAACAAGCACAGACACCATCACCGCCCTGCCAAACCGCGACTCTGCAATCGACGACATCACCGCCGCAAACACCCTTTTAAACACCAACTCTACATCCTCCTCCCCTCCTCCCAGCACCACCTCCACCTCCACCACTACCACCAGCAACAACACACTACAAACAGACTACTCCCTCCTCTACCGCGAACTCGCCTCCCTCCGCTCCCTCTGCCCCTCCCCCGTCACCCTCAAACTCATCCTCGAAACCTCCCAACTCACACACCCCCAAATCCTCGCAGCCGCACACCTCGCCGCCGCCGCCTCCTTTGACTTTATCAAAACGTCCACGGGCTTCAACGGCCACGGCGCCACCCTGCCACACGTTCAGCTCATGGTTGCTGCCGCAGAGTCGCTTGCGAAACGCGGGGTTGGGTCGAGGAAGCTGCAGGTCAAGGCGAGTGGTGGGGTTCGCGATTTGGATACCGCGGTTCAGATGTTGGAGGCGGGGGCGACGCGGTTGGGGACGAGTAGTGGGTTGTGGATTATGCAGGAGGCGAGGCGGAAGGCGGGGGAGGGGAGGAGGATGGGGTCTGGTGGGGGCATGGAGACGGATGAGGATGAGGACAGGCCTGGGGGTGGGGTGACGAGGCTGTATACGGATGATAGTTCGTATTAGGTTTTGGAAGCTGGGTACGTGTAGTTGCATGCAAAACATGACAATGCATAAAAATCAACCATGCAATTGGCCAATATTTAAAAAGACACAACGTGTATAATTTACGATATCGAAAATGTGCCTTTTTCGCCACCTCTGCTCCACCCTCTCAAAGACACACACATATCCAACCACAAGCCCCGTCTACGTACAACAGGGAAGAAAGGTAATCCAGCCAAAGCCGGCGCAAAAACATGTACAATAAAAGATGCCATGAAGTGTAAACCACAGCAATAATAGTAATGTCAAGAAGAGTGCAAGCGAGGCAACCAGAGACGTCTACATCAACGCCAGGCGCCGGGAAAAAGAAAGAACATTAAACGGTAAACTATACCATTTTCCCCCGGCCCCAGCCACCAATCCCCATTTTATGTAGAAATGAGCGAGACGAGAAATCGGTCTGCACGGGTCCAGATCTTTTCGGATGCGTCGAGTTTGAAATAGCGAAATCTGTCCACGTTCCAGGAGAGGTACAACTTGATGGACTGTAAAAAGCGAGGCGCAATTCTCCCTTCTGCTAAGGAAACAAAGAGGTCAAAAATCAGCCAACAATGATGATTTCTAGGCGGTCAAGGTACAGGGAGATGGGGGACGATCGAGGATGGGGGGGGGGGTTGCAGGTCTAGTAGTGTCGGGTATTGATGTGTGCTTGGGTATGACGATAATAGCGAATTAAGAGTGCAGGGGCAAGGTATGTTCGTGAAGATGTGGACAGGCATGGCGGTATGCTCAGAGGACAACACAACCTCCGCTTTGGTCTTTGCCAGACTTGACTTGTAGCGCGACACGGGCGGCTTCGGTGAAGGCCTCGTTGACGCCTCGGTTCTTCATGGCGGAGCATTCTGTATATCATGTCAATAGGCATTCTCGCCTTGCAGCAACGGCACGACATACCGAGGTATCTGAGTGCCTTGATCTTCTCTGCCATCTTTAGACCCTCCTCGTAATCGATGCAGGGTTTCGCGGGTTGACCGTCCTCGGCATCATCGTCCTCTCGTTTCCGTAGATCGCACTTGAGGGCCACGAGGACGAGCTTGACGCCTGGGCAGTTCTCTGCAATCTCACCCACCCACTTCGTTTCTACATTTTCGAGCGAGTCCGGTGAGTCGACCTGTACTATGTTAGGTGCGGCTCGGTAGGGCGGGAGGCGGACAGTGGTACTGAGAAGCAGAGCATGATTGCGTGGGTGTCATCGTAACTGAGCGATCGCAATCGGTCAAACTCTTCTTGTCCGGCGGTATCCCACAAGCTGAGCTCGACGTGCGTGTTGTCAATGTAAATGTCTACGATGATGTCAGTATGGCGCGTCTTCGGCCTTATGGGCGGGCGCAACTGACCGTGCACATAGTTCTCTTGATGAAATGGTTAGCAAAGATACGTCAAAGGTTAATTGGAGAGACTCACCAAACACAGTTGGTTCGCTAAAGTAAGGAGAAGATCAGCCCGGAGTGCGACGGTAGCCGCGCAAAACACTTACTATACAGTCGGAAAATAACTGCGACGGATGTTAGCTAGGCCTACACGGCTCCTCGTGACCCGTCTCGACTGGGCAGGCCGGGATATGCATACCCTCTTGTGAAGACATTAAGCAACGAAGTCTTGCCGCATGCACCATCGCCGCTGTAACACGTTCGTCAGCCTACTGATGTCGCATCCTCGGTTCCTAGACGAGATGCAGAAGACGCGCCGAATACAGCAGACGTACAGGAGGACTAGCTTGCGCTGCACGGACTTGGAGCCGCCGCACAAAGGCATCGTGAAGGTTGAGTAAGGGAGGGTCCGCGGGCGTAGTGGTGTCGTGGGCTCGAGCGATGAGAGAGAGCGGGCGCGTCAGTGTAACCAGAAGATGCGAATTGCCGTCAAGGAAGGGGGGGGGGAGGTGCGGGGGAGAGTGCGACAGAGGTCCAGAGTCGCACGGCAGCGTCGGGGCCAGAGAGGAAGAGGAGGAGGAGGAGGAGCAGTTGGGGAAGCGTCGTTGTCGAGCGAGCCGAAGGCGGTCCCAAAGACTGGGCTGGGCTGGGCTGAGGGTGCAGCAATGGTGATGGAGATCCAAGACCCGCGCTCCAACGTTAAGCCTGTTCGAGCATTAGAGCCGCTCGCCCTCATCAACAAGCTCCACCACCAGAGTCCGCGACCGACCGGGAATCTGGAGCGTGGCGCAGTGCAGATGCCGAGAGGTGGGCGGAGGGGGATTGCGCCATTGCGTGTCTTTGGGGTGTTGTACCCAGGTATTCAGGCAGATGATATGCACTCACAATCTATCGTGAAATGAAGGCTGAATGTAGGAGATAGGATGGATATCAGTGCATTGAAGGAAGACTTTTGGGGTATTCCAAGTCGATGCAGAACCAGAAGAAGGAAATCGCAGTGAATGAAGGGAGGGTTCTGACGACGAAGAAGAGGAGGATGAAGAAGAGACAGAAGAGACAGAAGAGACAGAAGAGACAGAAGAAGAAGAAGAAGAAGAAGAAGATGGTGATGACGAGCCGTTGAAGGATGATTATTGATCCAAGCAGCAGGAAACGGCGTAGGGACCAGCTGTTCGCGATCCTGGGAAGGTGCAAGTCCTGACATGGCCCAATGAAGAAGGTCGGTCGATCGACGGGGGGAAATCATGGGGACGGAATCATCGTCATGGGAATCCATTCACTGCATACATCAATACTATGAATACACCCTCACGTGCCATGTGTTAAAGGCATCATGGTCTATATCATCCATATACAGTAGGCATCAGGTCAGAGGGAATAGCATCGTGGGCCGACGGTGAAACTGCTTGGACATTCCAAACGCCGCCTCCTCTTCATGGCCTTGTTGTCAGCTATCGTATCTAGAGAGTAGGCAAGTTATTTGTGGGCGAACCTGGGCTTCATTACTCTACCGGGGGATTTACCCTGTAGCCCCGTCTACATGACTGCATATTGTAGGAGAGAGGAGAGGTTGAAACTTCGAGCCTAAGACTACCGGTATTTCACAGCTCTCTTTTTCCTTGTAGTTTACTTTTCTTTTTTTTTTTCTGTTTTTTTTTCAATTGACGTGCTTGTCTGAAGAGCTCTACAGATGACAGGGACATGGTATGGGGTATCTTATCTATACATGTAACTATCTTAAATCCATATGTGTGTGCATGTATTGTGCAATCCTCCCCCCGCGGGTTGCTGCTTTCTCGAGGTGCAATGCCCATGCGATGGAAGCGGACTAGTCACAGTGCGGGGCTACGCCGCGGCAGCTCTACTCTACCGGTACAGGCAGGCACCACCACCACCACCACCAATACCACTGCTGCTACAACAGCCCAGCAACCTCACCAACCTCACTTGCTTCAACCTGTCTCTTGCACCAACCTTTGTGCATCTGACTGTCACCTATTCTTTACCGCTTCAAGTCTCCACTCCTGCCGTGTCATCGTTACAACCTACAAACACAGCTATATTGCACTGTAGCCATGTCTGACGATGATGATTTCATGCAAGACTCTGGTGATGAGGAGTAGGTTGCGCCTGCAAACACGAAGATTACCGGCTAACTTCTATCAAGGTATGATTTCGAGTACGAAGACGATGATGACGAGCAGAGCGGCGACGTCGACATTGAAAATAAATACTACAATGCGAAGCAACTAAAGGCCGACGATCCCGAAGCGGCCATTGACGAGTTCCTTGGTGTGCCTGCACTCGAACAGGAAAAGTCGGATTGGTACGAGAGAATACCGTCTTGACGAGTGAATACGCGCTGACGTGCTCGCAGGGGATTCAAGGGCTTGAAGCAGGCCATCAAGCTCGAGTTCAAGCTTGCGCGCTACGACCAGGTACACTACCAACTGTCGCAGCCAATGCCCGAGGTCACAGCTCACATTTCTCATAGGCTGTAGAACACTACAAGGAGCTGCTTACCTATGTCAAATCGGCCGTCACGCGCAACTACTCTGAAAAATCAATCAACAACATGCTCGATTTTATAGAGAAGGCTGCAGAAGATGCAGACGCGTATCGCTGCATGGAGAAGTTCTATGCCCTGACGCTCGACATCTTTCAGAGTACCAACAACGAGCGGCTATGGCTAAAGACGAATATCAAGCTTGCAAGGCTGTGGCTAGAGAGAAAGGACTACCGCCAATTAACGGAGAAACTTCGCGAGTTGCACAAAGCTTGCCAGAAGGAAGATGGAACAGATGACCCGAGCAAAGGCACATACTCATTGGAGGCCTACTCGCTCGAGATTCTCATGTATGCCGAGACCCGGAACAACAAGCGTCTAAAGGTGAGGCTGTTCCCGATCTGAGCACATGTGCATACATCTGACGCTATGACAGGCATTGTATCAGCGCGCACTCAAGGTCAAATCGGCGGTTCCACATCCCAAGATTATGGGTATCATCCGGGAATGTGGAGGCAAGATGCACATGAGCGAGGGCAAGTTGACCCCCCTTTGTTGCCCCCCTATGCCAACCCCATCGACGGGTGCTAATCCGCTGCAGAAAACTGGAAGGGTGCGCAGAGCGACTTCTTCGAGAGCTTCAAAAACTACGACGAGGCCGGCTCTCTCCAGCGTATCCAAGTATTGAAGTATCTAGTACTGGCGACCATGCTCTCGGGTTCGGATATCAATCCGTTTGACTCGCAGGAGACGAAGCCCTACCAGAACGATCCTCGCATCTCAACCATGACGGATCTGGTTAACGCCTACCAGCGGGAAGACATCCATGAATATGAGAAGATCCTGCAGAACAACAGGGATCTACTTCAAGATCCGTTCATCGCCGAGAACATTGATGAAGTTACGCGGAACGTGCGCACCAAGGCGGTCGTCAAGCTAGTCGCACCTTATACCCGGTTCACGCTGGCGTTCATCTCGAAACAACTCAAGATCTCCCTTCCCGAAGTCCAGGAAATTGTAGGCTTCTTGATCGTCGACAAGCGGTTACGCGGCAAGATCAACCAGCAGAATGGAACGGTGGAGATCGAGAGTAGTACAGACATGGATCGGGTGCTTGCGATGAAGGAGTGGACGACGGCCATTGAATGTCTGTGGAGTACGGTCCTGAACGAAGGCGAGGGCTTCAAGTCGGACGAGAGTGGTTCTCAGTTCACGCCTGGTGGGTCCGGCGGCGTGGGATGGAGTCAGACGGGCCCTGGGAACAAGCCTGGGAGAGCAAAGGGCAAGGGCCTGTCGGGTCGAATGGCCGGAATCGCAGGCAAAGGATGACTTGCAGCGTCGGTCGCGAGTGGTTCACAAGACCTCTATCTGGGTACTCGGGCGACCACGGGACTTGAGCCGTTACACATTACCGTCACCGAGGCCTTTTCCTTCTGGACGTCTAAGACATGCGGTCAGGTTTCCTCAAAGCAAGTGGCAGACTTGGTCCCATCGGGTCGCACAAGGCAAGAGTTTCCTCCCACATGAGCAGCAGGCGTCTCAACACGGCGGTTGAGGGGCGGACTTGTTCGGCTACACAGGTCGGGGAGGGGGGGTGGGGGGTGGCTATCTGCCACAGAGGTGCACAGGCAGTCATCAGCGGTTCTCTTGTATGTAACATGGCCTCGTTTTCTCGTTGCAACCCGCCAAGAATACCGAGGGTGTGGTCATCGCGGAGGCCTGCAGCCACTGTACGCCCCATTCGTGGATGCTGGTCAATGTGGTGGATTGAATCAATGTGACGCCGTGATTGTCGCGAACCTTTTTTTTTTTCTTTTTTTCGCTCTTCCTCTCGATACTGGTAGTCTGGATACAATGAGGGTAGAAGCATACTACCCACATACCACTACCTCCTCTCCTACTACCTACTACCTACTACCTACTACCTACACTGCCTACATGCCTCTGATCCGAAGCTAGGTTCTAATACTCGCTCATAG